CCTACTCCTACTCCTACTCCTCCTACCCCTACTCCTACTCCTACTCCTACTCCTACTCCTACTCCTATCCTACACCTCCTACTCCCACTCCTCCTCCTAGTGCTGCTGCTGCTACTGCTACTGCTTTTGCTACTGCTTCTGCTACTGCTACAGCTACTGCTACTCCTGCTAGTACTGCCACTGCTACCAATAATCATCATCATGTTCATCATCACTGGATCACATTGTAAACAGAACCAACCCATTGAACTTGCGATTGTTGATTGTTCAATCCCCATGTTGGATGGTTTTGATTTGTTTTGGTGGTGAAATCTTAGCCCTTGATATAGATTGGTATAGTAGAATCCAGACAAAATCCATTCATCAAATTTTGCATATCAAACATATCTCAGAAGACTCCGGGAGAAAAAAATATCGAACCTTCCCCAAGGTTTCGACATTCAAATCCAGATCCTCCATCCCCCACCGCCCTGGCCGAGGCTGCGCAGCAAGGTGCTGCAGTTCGCCACGGGTTCCTCCGGCATTGGCCGCGATGGGCTCAGCAGCTTCCGCCTGGAGCCGGGCGATGGCGGCGATGGACTGCGGGGGGAGCTTCAGTGACAGTTTTATCATGTTTAGTTTTTTCAGTGATACAAAATCGAAGCAATTATTTATTTTTTTGAGATTTTTTTTGGGGGGGAGGGATGGGTGAACCCTATTTTTGATGCATTTTGTTGGTTGAAAACTTAAATTTCCAGATCTGTCAATGGTACTAACCCGACAGATTGGCTCAGGGGATTGCTGGCCCACCACATTTGAAAAGTAAAGAAACATGCAGGAACCTCTGATATTGAAGTCAGTTAGCCGCGATTTTCCTGAAAAATCAGCCTTGAATCATCTTGATTCCAACCCAATGAAGCAGAGAAACTCCCATGTTGTATTTTCAACAATAGGCATGGGATGATGATCCCCGTTGACGAACATATTTTTTCAAGGGGTTGGCTCAACTACTGCAACAACAACCAGTCAATGATGTTTGGTCCATTTTTTCATTTCGTGTTGTTTAGACCCTATTGGAGCCATTAAAGATACCATGGTTGATTACTCTAGGGAGTTATACTACCAAATTTACTGGGGATTACAAGGTGGTACCCCCCCAGTTATAAGTTGGTTTACAAACCATAGTAAATATAGATATATCTACCATAAACCATAGTTATTGGAGTTATGTTTTTCAACTTAGCGATTCTGACCTGGGGCACCACCTTGTATGACAACCCATTTGTTGGTTGGTCAGATTCCCAGGGTGAAATCCTTATGACCAGGACGATTACCGACGGCAATGACCTGTGGCAACCTCCTACAGCTGCCACGTGCTTTGGCGAACTGGGCCTGCCGCTGTTCCGCGGGAAATTGGTCGATATCCATAGGGAGTTAATGGGATAAAGGGATTTGCTGGAGTTTTATGGGATTTAATGGGAAATAATGAGGTATACCCTCTGCTTATTCAACATATCTGTGGCAAATGGATGAACATGGACCATTTATAGGGTGCAATCTAATGGTGATATATGTGATATGTTTTATGTTGTGGAATAATTATGTATAATTATATTATATTTACATATATATATAAATATATATATATATAATGGGAAGAATGGGAGAAAAGGGGACAAAAGGGTAAAAAGGGACATAATGCGGATATCGTAGCAGGGAGTCATGAGAATAATCCCATATTCTCTTAATATTTATGCTAGAAGCCATGTCTTAGTACCGAATCTGTTAATTTTTGAGGCGCAGATGTGGGGGGATTCAATGTTACTGGAGAGAGGGGATTGATCGAATTGGAAAAGGGACAAACCAGTGACAACCCCCGTTATAGAGGTGCACATTCATACTACCCAGTGGGATCACATATCCTGTTTTAGATGATGTGTCTAAAAATGAGAGAAACCATGGGGTACCCGCCCCAAAGTGTTTTTTGATCTTATGTTTATGTGCATTGGTGAAAGTGAACTTTAGTCAACCATAGTATGGATTGGGGCCCTGGGGCATTCTATTTCAGCCGAACCCACATGGATGCCACAAAGCTCTCACCCAAAGGTGGCAGCAGTGGTACTGTAGCAGTTCATGTTTGCCTACTCTGACTTTCAGTGATGTTCTTTCAATGTCAGTCGTCACCAGTTATTTGATACTGGTGTTTCATGCCTGACCAACTCCAAAGATCAACTTTACAGAAAGTTTAGACTCAAACAAACCTAACTGTTTGGTGGTTTGGAACATGAATTTTATGACTTTCCATCTATTGGGAATAATACTCCCCCAACTGACTCATATTTTTCAGACGGGTTGAAACCACCAACCAGCTAAAGTATCCTAAAGCCACCCAAGACTCCTCGCCTCAATTCTTTGGCGTCCCTTCAACTGCTGCAGGGTATTCCAGTCGAAGCGTGTTAAAGCGTCGGCTCCAAACCGCTGTAGAATCCACAGGGTCCTTCGAGATGTTGTGATCGCAGGTTAGGAAAGGATGCCCAGGTCGGAAGAGTCCCAAGAATTTGTTATTGAGTATTGTCCCTATCCTAAAAAGATTAAAAAGATACTGGAAGAGTTATCTTCTATATACAAGTTTTGAGGGTTGTTATAGACTATACTCAGCAGTTGTTCGACCAGTTCTTTGCCACCTATTATAGTGCCTTTTGCATCCTTTTGCCCCATGGCCCCCTGGCCATTCGAACACTCGAAGCACCCTGTCCATTCGACAATGTACAAAGATGCCGTTGACACTGGAACGCCCAAAGGTTCCAGGGTCATAGGTCTGGGAGCCCTCAATTTATGTGAGGGCCCCAGGAAATCCCCACCTTGCTTGAAGAAAAAAACATCGTCAGGGCTTTGAAGCCTTGGTGGTCAGTTTGAAAGGCAATTCAAAGAAGGCATATAAAGGCTTAATATTTGTGCTAAACTTGATGCCTTAAACCTTGGTTTCGATTTCTTACGGGATTAAAAATATTAAAAATATTTCCCACATGCTACAAGTGGGCAAAATGGGTATGGTTGGTTTATTACTAGCCAGTGAACCACGTTGTAGGCCTTGATCAAATTTGTGGAACCTCTATGGTCCCTTTCCAGCTGTGGTATAGCGGTGGTTTTGGGGTGTCGGGGGCTGCCAAGATGAAACTTATTGGAACTGCTGAAGCGCCTTAGACTCGCCTTGTTGTGCACTTGTGCACCAGCACAGTTGGTATAGACTATCTAGATGCGTTTACTTTGCTAGAAAGCGTCGTTCGTTTTACTTCATGTGAAGGAATTATATCATTTCAAGTTTTGAAACGTTCACGTGTGGAATCCTCTACGGAATAGTCCACGTCAGATGTATTCGTTGAGCCCATCGTGATCCGCATTGATCTTGTGGCCACTTGAATCCCCATGATCAATTTAATGTCAAGCCCCGCAAAGAACTCTGCTGGGTAATTGGGAGGGTTACCCCCCAAAATAGGGCCATATATAGTTCGTGATACAATGCTACATATATATATATAATGTTATATATATATAGACATTATGAATTATAATATAACTTTTAAAAAATGCCATTAAGTGCAAGTCAAATCAATGGTCAGCTACTTATCGAGCGCAGGTGGGTCCCGCACCAGATGCATGGTACAAGCAGAAAGTTCGGCGGGGAAGCTCAATGGGATGCGGGGCAGGAGTTGAACAAACAGTGACCGGGTAAACCGGCTGGTGAAGAGTTTAATGGTTTGGCTGTTTGTCATTTAATTGGGAAAAATACCAGTTATACTATTCAACTAGCCGCTAGCCATCGTATTTGTTGACATGTTCTGCACGGTATCTAGGATTGGTCATGTTGAATCACCTCAGAATATCCCAAAATTTGCTGAACATCTGAAGGTGATGCTGTACAAGGGTGGCCACAGCCATCTCCTTCGGTGTGGTTAATCCTACACAGCCCTTCACTGCAGATGTTTTTGATGCATCCTTGGAAGAAATGAGGACTTCCAGAACGATTTTGTTCCCTTTTTGTGGACGTCAACGTCCCACGGTTTTGGTTTCAGTTCATCATTACTGTTGGGAAAATCAAGGTCCCATCCCATGGAGTGGCCAATTGCTGGGGCATATGATGTAATCTTCCATACACGTTGATGCCTTGGGCCACTTGGAATATACCATTGAGACAATGGGCTTGGAATAGGGCTGTGCCCTATTCATTTTTTCACCAGTGAATAGCCAAATGGATTTTTTCCCGTAGCCCTCCATTTTTGGGATACGCCTATTATTTACATTGCTTTTTTGATCAATTGAAACGACCAAGGCGGCTTCTGCAGATGCTCATGGGAGGTTCGGAGGGGTGCAACACTCGGATGGAGAGGTTTTTCTGTCAGCAAGAATGAACATGTTGGACCAATCAAAACGGTAATGCAAAACATATCAGCATGTAAGATGGAGGATCAGACCAAGATAAGACAAATGAGGTACACACACATTCATGATTCATGATTCTGATTCCAGAAAAGAACCCGTAGATGGTTTGTTTTTCAGCATTACAGTAGGCAATTTCCATCTTAGTTGGACAATTGTTACCGTCTAAAAGCCTATCATGGATGCAAAGAGTTGTATCATTTTTTTGCTTGCATGCTGAACTGCTAGATTTCCTGGAGTTCTGAGGTGTGTTCAAACACAATTTTGGAGGTAAAGCTTGGATATCAACAACAAGCCATGAAATTCCGAAGGGCGCGTCATTCCCACCTTACAGCAACTCGCTAACATCTCTCAATGAAGTGCACCGTTCACTGATGTGCAGGGTCTGAAATTGTTTCCAATATCAGTTGAAACCAGTTAGAGACACTCTGTTTTAGTTTCTTGATTCTTTCCAACATGGGATTTGATCCCTTCAACCATCCTTGTTCATTAACTTTGCCGGCTTGTTGGCCCTGTTTTTGGGCCACCAAGGATGAAACTTTGACCTCTCGGCCCAAGAGTTATGTTTTAAAGATCTTGTGTTGATGGTTTCCGCGGGCGGTCTGACCGTGCTTCTCCGGAGTGATGGCAGCGCTGTGGCGTGTGGAAGCAACATCCTTGGACAATGCAACATTCCCCTCTTGGAGAAGGGAAGCACATACACCCAGGTGGGGTTGTCCAAAAAACGACTACACTTAGTTCCATTGGTTCCAAAAACCCTGGTTAGAGTGACCATATATAATTTTCGGATATATTAGATGTTTGGTTCATTGCTTCATTCTCAAACCAGTCATAGGGGTGCATACCAGTTTCAGACATGCCCAGGTATCTGCGGGCGCAGATCATTTAGTTCTTCTCCGTAGTGATGGCCGTGCTGTAGCATGTGGATACAATGATCATGGGCAATGCAACGTTCCACCTGCGGACGGAACGTGCTACAGCCAGGTTTCCGCCGGTGGGCTTCATACGGTGTTTCTCCGACACGATGGTCAAGCTGTTGCGTGTGGGAACAATTATCATGGCCAGTGTCGCATTCCACCGTTGGAAGAGGACATAACATACACCCAAGTTTCTGCAGGGATGCGTCACACTGTGCTTCTCCGCAGTGACGGTCAAGCCGTTTCCTGTGGGAACAATGATGATGGGCAACGTCGAGTGCCAGCCTTGAAGGAGGGAATGTCATACAGACAAGTTTCTGCAGGAATGTATCATTCTGTGTTTCTCCGAAGTGATGGCCAAGCTGTTGCGTGCGGCAGCAACGACCATGGGCAGTGCGAGATTCCGCCTTTGGCTGAAGGACTCTCATACATCCAGGTGTCTGCGGGGGGGGACCACACGGTGCTTCTCCGAAGTGATTGCAGCGCCGTCGCATGCGGAATGAATGATGATGGAGAATGCAATGTGCCACAGTTGGACGGAGAAGTGTCATATCTCCAGGTTTCTGCGGGGATTTGTCACACGGTGCTTCTGCGAAGTGATGGTCTTGCTGCAGCTTGTGGCTTGAATCTTGAGGGGCAATGCGATATTCCTACCCCTGAGCCCTTGAATGGCTACACTTGGGATCATTCTCATATGCCACTTGGGAGAGACCTTGTTTTGCAACTTGGCTATATTCGTGAAGATAAACATATGCTGACATGCTCGAATTTGGCTGGGCATGAAATGTTGCGCTTAAGCACATCTGGATCTGATTTGGCCTGGCATACGCAGAAACGCATTGCGCATGAATTGCTTGTAAACCTCCGCAGTCTTCGAGTTGTCTTGCCTGACGGACGGTTGCTGGCCTCTGTTCAGTCCGACAATCCATTGGCCACAATTTCGGATTTGATCTGAACACAATGCAGAAGCGGTCGATGGTTTCAAGTTTCGAATATGCTTAACGCTCCAATATTTCCAGCCAACTTCGTAGACATTCGAAGGGTTTCACCAGATGCAGAGGCTCCACCAGATCGTTCTTTCCAGCTGAAAAGATGGGATGAACAGGGATTATGTCCATTTATATCCCCAATAGATGACGTGAAAAAAAAAGGAAATTTATCAACCCCTGAACCATGATTCAGAGGGGGATTGCCCCAACATGTTCACACTGCTTAATGTTGGACGACCATACCCTGTCAGAAGGTCTTTGGACAGTGCCTCATATGGACTTGGACCCGCAACCCCAACATTTTTTGGTTGATATCTTCATTTCAAACTGACCATGGTGATGAGAATCATGCTGGAACTGAGGTCCCGCAGCAGGATTATCTTGGTGCTTGTACTTGTGTTTCAAAATATCATGGGAAGTCTCTTTTGTTAGGCTAAATTGTAACGACCGAACCCTGCGACCTCACTGGAATGATGCTTAGGATTGAGGAAAATCTATCCTAAAAGGTCGCCGAACTTTTAGCTGAACTTTCCAGGTCAGTGTGGAATCCCATAGTTTTCCCAGATTTATCATGTACACTGGATGTTGAAACAGCAAACTTGATCCATTTTGTTTGTGAGAGTGACAAGTTGCTTGCAGGAAAAGCACAGGATCAGGCGCATGGTTTGGGAGGGCGGAGGGCAGTAGTTGTCAGTAGTTTGGTCTCTCCAATTGGACTCCTGTGTGGCAGAAGACTCCCGCGACTGCGACTTAAATGTTGCCATGGGTATGCCCCAGTTACGATCAGCACTTCGCTAATTCTGGCAACTTCAAATTTAAGTAGCAAGTTCCCGATTCCTGAGTTAATTCCGTATATGGATCTGTCCCAACCATGAGTAACAGTATAGGTTGCTTCGCCCATGAGAGTTGGGCAAAACCCCGTTCTTGCTTTGATCCAACTCGTTGGTCAACTTGTCATTTTGCCAGAGATACCTCCAGCTAGTTACTACTGCTACCACATTTTATCCGTTTTATTGCGCAGCAAATTGGCAGCAAAACATCCACTTCTTTCCCATTGGTTAACCCCGCAGTTTGACGTTTATTGCCCATGTTTCCTTTGTGTGATGACTCAACTTAAATGTTACCAGCCAAGTGGTGATCATGTATTGCATATATATATATTATTGTTATCATGATTATTATAGAATTATTATGTTATAGAATTATTATTTTTGCTGTTATTACAATTTATTATTTTTTTGATTATTGTTATTTTTAATATCATTCTTAGTATTTTTATTATTGTTTTCAGTATTTATTATTATTATTGATTATTATTACATATATACATAAGTATATATAGCTTTATGGAAGTAATATGAAGACATATTATATCTTGGCAAAAAAGACAAACATCCACCATATCTCGATGCCTCCATGACATGAATCCCCTGCTGATCCAAGCCGCCAGGAACCCTTACTGGACTCTGATCTGGGCTCGCCCTCGCCTAAGGCGCCTCGGGGGATGGTATCATCGGTTTCCCAAGCCATTTTTTTGGTGGTTTATGGTTGATTTGGGAATATCATGTGCTCAAAATGGGACCGGTTCCAGTTATGATTGTTGCAAGAAAAAATGGAACTCACGAAGTTGGAGTATTATATAGCCAACGACCAATGTGAATTCAAACCAATAAACCTGTGAATTCACACCGACCAAGCATTTGGGCAAAGTGCATTGTAAGGACCCGGCGGCAAGTCGCATGAAAAATGGCGCGGTAAACAAATACAAGCGAATTAACGCACGGAAATGGGAAATTGAGCATGAGATATATATATATAATATTATATATTATTTAGTTCGTATAATAATATATATATGATGCTAGCAAATTTGGGGCTATTCATCAACAAACTTCAGAAAACGGCGTCCAGCGGCGTCAATCCGTCAATCGCAGGTATGACGGATATAACTTTTCTTAGGCAGCTTACGATAACAAGACATTCCATTTAAATTGGTTTGCAGATGGATAATTATAATTCACATTCTATATTCCATATATCCCATATACATAGGCAGTTGTATTTACATAGTTTTAACCTAGTTTTATATACAATATGTGTGTACACAGGTATACCATGTATTCAAACAAATTCGTATCTCAAAATGCTACGCTTGGATACACAACTCATCACAACTCTGTTGTCACTGTTTGGCGCATTTCACATGTCACCCTAGATCCGAAGCGGCAATTGAAATTCTTTGGGCAGTAGATGTGTCCCGTCCCAAACTTACGGACACAGAAAAGCAAATGCAGATAATGGGTGTCAATAGCTTTATGGCAGGAATCCAATTTTTATTGGCATATTTGGATAATAATTGGACGATACATATTATCATCCTATAATTATTTGGGACACCAACTGGCATTGTGCGAATCATATTGGTACTTGGGGACAACTATCAAATATATAATTGTGACTGGGAACGCCAGATTTGTATCTATTTAAGTCATAACAAAGTGGAACTTAGGGCACCCAATCTAGTAAGGGGTTCGGAGTGTCAGTTTCGAGACCCCCCCCCAGTTTAGGGTTAGCGTGGCATTTGCTCAAACACAACTTGAACGAAATTACATTTAGTTTTTAGCAAAGATTGCCAAAACCAATTTATATAAATCGGCTAGAAATTAGATTTGCCGTTGCAAACTGCTTACCCGTGGATAGTCAAACATGGCTAGCTTGGAAATCCCTGTGGCCTAGATGGAGGTTTAAACCACTGGAAGTCGAGTCTGCACTGACTTGAACTTGAAATATGTGGACGGTGATTCAAATTGGAAAGTATGGACGTTCCAAAACTCGTGGATTCAAGCCACAAAGATTCGTTTATATATTGTGGGTGAATGCCAAATAGTGAGAAGTTCCTATAGTACAGTTATTTCCCCACCTGCCAGGTGAGGGTTGTTAGATTTTATCAGAGTTGTTCTCCTCCTCCTCCTCCTCCTCCTCCTCCTCGGCTAGCTGTCCTCCTCTTCCTCTAGTTTCTCCTCGACCATGTCTGCATCAACTTCCACCTCCACTTCCGCCTTGCAACCTCTTCGCCAAGCTCTTTGCCAACTCTCTTCGCCAAGCTCTTTGCCAACTTCCCAGCTCAGTGTGCACTGGGACCTCAACCTGGGACCTGCCCAGCTCAGTGTGCACCGCAGGACCTCAACCTGGGACCTTCCCAGCTCAGTGTGCACCGCTGGACCTCAACCTGGGACCTTCCCAGCTCAGTGTGCACCGCTGGACCTCAACCTGGGACCTTCCCAGCTCAGTGTGCACCGCTGGACCTCAACCAGGGACCGTCTCAGCTCAGTGTGCACCGCTGGACCTCAACCTGGGACCTGCCCAGCCCAGTGTGCACCGCTGGACCTCAACCTGGGATCTGCCCAGCTCAGTGTGCACCGCTGGACCTCAACCGGGGACCTTCCCAGCTCAGTGTGCACTGCTGGACCTCAACGGGCAGATCGAATGCCAGAAGATATGCCAGATAGAATGTCAGATGGAATGCCAGAAGATATGCCAGATAAAATGCCATGAGATATGCCAAATAGAATGCCAGAAGATATGCCAGAACATATGCCAGAAGATATGCCAGATAGAATGCCAGATAAAATGCCAGAAGATATGTCAGAATATTTGCCAGAAGCTATGCCAGATAGAATGCCAGAAGATATGTCAGATAGAATGCCAGATAGAATGCCAGAAGATTTGCCAGATAGAATGCCAGAACATATGCCAGATAGAATGCCAGATGGAATGCCAGAAGATATGGCAGATAGAATGCCAGAAGATTTGCCAGTAAGAACATGTATAAATGTCATGGTGGGGATCACACGAAGCAAAGTATTTTTTTCAGGGGTTGGTGACTATACATCCTGTAAATCTGCTGGCTTTTCTAGCCAGGATCCTTCGGAACTCTATTAGCAGCGGCCTCTTGGCAACAGAAGGGGTCTTTGCATCACCTTAAAAGTCCCGGGCCTCGGGTATTGCACCCACTGAAACATTCGGGCATATCAACGTGGGCTGATATCGTTGTGCCTTATGTGTCAGAAATGGCCACTGTTTGGTAGGATGATTCACCTGGTTGGGGTTTCCGCAGATGGCAAGATACTTTTCAAACTTGTGAAACCCCATTTGCGGATAGCAACATACTTCTATGGTTCTATTATGTTCTATTGTTCTGAACTTTGCAAAGAAATAAGGAGGTGTTGGCGAAGACTGCTTTGGGTCGCCATCGCCTAATGTCTCAGGTGATGCTGCAGAGGTCCCACAATCACAAGTTTCGTGGGAGAACTGAAAATATGGCACGCGCTGGGGTCCCAAAAACGATCAAAAATGGCAGAGAAACTAGTCACGTTGATTTCATTTTCTCGGACTTTGTACACATTGGGAAAGCCATGGCGAGCCACTTATTTGTTGACTGAGTTTTCATTGATGCTTCCCTGATGATGGGAACATTGCCCCATTTTTTGGGACATGCCCTGGGCAAAAATGTGTGCCGAGCCTTCCGTCTGCCCGTAGTGTGCCACCAGCTTGCACAGTAGGCCAAAGTGTAGGAATACCATGCGGAGTTGGTGTTTTAGGCATCATTTAGCAATATGGATGGGTGTGTCTGAGAATGGGGTATACCCTTTGTCCATGACTGGGACCAGCCATCATGGAGCTGCTGTTTATTTGCTAAAGTCAGTTTCGTAAGCACCAACTCAAGAGAACCAGCAAGAAGTGGGCATGGCTCAGATTTTAAGGCCTGGTGGCCCGTGGAACTCACAGATTGACTGCCCATCTTTGGTACGATTCCCACCCAAGTGTTTCGGGGCCAAAATTTGAACCATGTCTAAATGACCTTGTGGCTTTCTTAATTCAGAAGTCAATTTACACTACAGCATGTTTTCAAAACAAAGAAAACCCGGTACTCAGAGATATTTCGCGCATGTGAACTTTGAGCTCAACAACTTTGGGAAAGCCAATTGCTCAAGTTGCGAGCCGCTGAAGTTCAAAGAACCAGCAGCTCAACCCATTGTGGACCTGCAATGCAGATCCCGACACTTTCAAAGCAGAGGCTGTTGTCAATCCTGTTGATAGGAAATATATGCCAGCGGCAAGTGCCCCTTGGGGCAAATCCTTTCGTGAATTCCGGGTTTAAGATCTTCTCAGGATGTGTATGTGGATCCATAGATTGCTAATTGGAAAATTTACATGATATACACACCCTATGTATCCAAGTACCTGCTTAGGAAGTGTTGAGGTATGATTTAGGGGGTTAAGTACCTTCTCAGACTGTGGATCCAGAGCGACATACAGATTTCATGGGGATGGGTGAAAACCTAGGTATATCATATATTTTGGGGGTTATCGTGTTCACCAAGATACCAGGGGGAAGCCTGGCAACATATGCAAAGGTCATGACTACAGATACGGACCCAGATACATGGTTAGCCCTCCCCAAAAAGATATAAGTTGGTTGAGTCCTACTAAAATAGTGATAATTATTTACCAACTTCTATTTTTTGGGGGTTACTATATGTTAATATGTGTATGCAGATGGCAGAATCCCACTGACAAACAAGTCATCAGTTTTTGGGATAGCATACAGCATTATTTTCTATCATATTTTTTCAACATGTCACTTCACCAAATGCTGTCACTTGTACAATTGCCCAAAAACGGCTGAGTGTCACAAGCAGTGCCTGCAGCATTGCGCGGTGTGGCGCTCAAAACAAAGTCGAGCAAGTGAATTTGGCGCGAGTGTTGGCAGTCCATTTGGAACAGACCCATGGGACCCCAACCAAGTAGTTCAAAGCCATAGCAAAGATGATAATGTGGTTAAAACAATAATAAACCATCCCCAAGTCGACACAATAAATGGGTGGGATTCCAAACCATCAAAAATGTGGTGGTTTTCATGGCATTGAAAAGAAACCACACTCTTCTCTTGCCCATGTCCAAAACCGGGGGTGATTTCGACCCTGAGCGTAAAAACCAACACAATACAGGTAGCGCGTTGTACAAGTGGCTGTTCGATGGTTTTCGTTCATGAGCTGGGTTTTTGCTACCCGGTCAGGCTGCCTCAAATCTGTTTGTGTTTGGTCCGATTAAGTATCTAACAGCATGGCATTTTGGGGTACGTACTGTGGAAACTATGGCAGTGCCATGGTCAAAAGTTGGATTGTACAAAACTGTATACCCATATGGGGGATGGTCATCAATCTATCAATAGGGAATAGATTAGATGGCAATAAACCATATACTGTGCCATACTGTCTATACTATCCTGGTTGGTGGTTTGGAACAGTTTTTTATTTTTCCATTCAGTTGGGAATAGTAACCCCAACTGGCTTTCATATTTTTCAGAGGGGTAGGTCAACCACCAACCTGCTGTATATACTATCTTGTGACCGTGGCGCATATATGGGCACAGGATGTCAAAAACGACGAGAAAAGTCCTAGCCATTCTGCCTGCAGAGGGTTAGCCTCCAGCGCAGCCATGAGCTGAGCCATTGATGTCACCATATCGGTTTGCTGAGAGGGAAACATATAGGGAGTGTGCAAAATTCATCTGGTTTGTTGGAAATGTAATAGATAAATATCATCTGTAAATGTATTATAATTAATTTCCTCATTTGTATTCTTCTGATATTCATCTGAAATGCACATGATACTTGAGGGAAGGCAGAATCTGTCCGACTCGTGGTTGGCAAGGACATGTCCTAGCTGTCCCCGCAGCTGTGTTTCTATCGCTTCAAGGCTCGAAAAAATGAGCCTCGGTCAAGTGAAGAACAACAAATGAGTCAACCTGGAACGGGACTCACTTTTTGGGGGAACTTATTTGAATCTTCAAAAAAGAAAATGAGATTGAAGAAAAAACGAAGAGATCACTGGCCACTGGCATGGTTTGTGGGGCCTTGGATTTTGGTCGAATACAGGTTGGACAAACTTCGGGAATCTTCGAGATATGAGTGCCCCTGTGATGTAAATAGAACTAAACAGAGGGATTTAACAAACCTGGGGATATAACCGCCAAGGGATTGGATCTATGATAGGTTTCAGTTGGTTTATAAGTACTGTAAGTGTTGGCTTCACGATAGAGATTACTTTGCCAATAACTCATCATAACTAAGCAGCATATGAGTCATCATTGTTAGTTTGACAACCATAACTAGCATTTTAGCAACATACTATTGTCATAGATCGATAACTTGTTCATGTTATACTAAACCACTATTCAGTTAGTTCAAATGACATCACTTTACTAGACCAACATCAACAACTCGGGGAGTCCCCGGCCACAAAAACGTCATGCGGCGCCTGTGCTGCAACCGTGAATATGGCCAAGGTTTCTTGCTATTCCATGTCTGGGTGAGACAACTCACCTAGTTGCCTTCCGGTAATCAACATGGCTAGCTGCGAAATCACCGAACAAAATGGATGTTTCTAGCTGGGAACATCTAACATCAGACATAAAGGATCTTCCAGCACGCCATGTTCTGGAGGCTATGGCCATTTTCTCATGGGAAGTTTGAGATGGAAGTCAAGATATGGGTTTGTGAGAAAATTATTGGAAAACCTCTTCAATCCCCTGCTGAATTCCAACGTTAATCGCAATAACTTGGGAGGGCAATCCCCGATTTCCAGACAGACCGCCAGCTTCATGCGCACTCGGCAAGTGAGGTTGACCCAGCGATGGAACTTGAGAAACCTTTGACTTCAAGCCACTTGAGCTGCATTACTGGGTTGCTAGGCCCTACTTACCCTAAGAAAGGCAAAGAAGAACAGTTGTTTTACTCTGAAATATCAGGACTTGTTTCCAATCGTTGTGGGGAATTGGAGGGTCGAGGTCGAGGTTTTAAAAAAAACTAGTAGTCGTCACATTGTTCCCCGATTGCTTTTGTAATCTTTTGTGATTGTTTGCCGTTGTTATCAAGTCATGTTCACATGTTTGTGGGTATATGAAGTCTTCTATAATAGATCGCTTCTGGGTCACTGGCCACAGAAGGTCCAGGATCACGGAAGAAACAACTGCAGGGCAAGGCCTGAGAGTTCTCCCAATGCGCCAAAACACACCCATGGGGTTTTGGTATACATCTTCTTCTGGGTTCCAAATACTCTTAGTTTCTTAATTGTTGAGGTGAGTCATAGCCCATATTTGTTGGTGATGTCCTCATTGTTGCTTCTATCTGCAGTGCTTGGTGGTATATGTTTGGCCGAGTTATAACGACCTCACCACAATGTCACAGTAAATGATGGCCCTTAAGTGGAATCACTATCATGCCGGTGGATTCTGTCCAAAGATGGAGGGCATATCGTTATGTTTGTCCCATTCATATTATGTATTACTCTCTGAAGTTGACACCTAAGTTGACACCTTTGGTTGGTTTATGATTTACAACAAGAGCAACAAGAGCAACAACATCAACAACAACAACAACAACAACAACAACAACCACAACCACAACCAACAACAACCAACAACAACAACAACAACCACAACAACAACAACAACAACAACAAGAACAACAACAACACCACACCCACAACCACAACCACACCCACAACCACAACCACAACAAACCACAACCACACCCACAACCACAACAACAACCACAACAACAAACGACAACAACCACAACAAACCACAACAAACCACAACAAACCACAACAAACCACAACAACCAACACAACCACAATCACAGTCACAACCACAACCACAATCACAAGCACAATCACAACCACAATCAAAACAACCACCACAACCACAATCACAGTCACAACCACAATCAGAAGCACAATCACAAGCACGATCACAATCACAATCACAACAACAAACCACAACAACCACAACCACAATCACAGTCACAACCACAATCACAAGCACAATCACAAGCGCCATCACAATCACAACCACAATCATAAGCGCCATCACAATCACAACCACAAGTACAATCACAAGTGCAATCGCAATCACAAGCACAATCACAACCACAAGCACAACCGCAAGTACAATCACAACCACAAGCACAACCGCAAGTACAATCACATCCACAAGTACAATCACAACCACAAGTATATCACAACCACAAGTACAATCACAACCACAAGTACAATCACAACCGCAAGTACAACCGCGAGTACAATCACAACCACAAGTACAATCACAAGTGCAATCCCAATCACAAGCACAATCACAACCACAAGCACAACCGCAAGTACAATCACAACCACAAGTACAATCACAAGTACAATCGCAATCACAAGCACAATCACAACCACAAGCACAACCGCAAGTACAATCACAACCACAAGTACAATCACAACCACAATCACAACCATAAACCAACTCAATTGGGCAGGGATTCCTACCTGCCAATCGCTGTCGAAAATTCGGACACTTCAATGGCCGATGGTTGAGCCACCTATCCTGGAAACGTTTGAAGTTGGTTGGGGATCATGTCTCACGCAGGGATCTCTATATTTAATTAACAATCATATTGGTAACAACAATAATAATGATCATCATCATCATAAGAAACAATAACAACTACTAGCAAAAATTATCAGTAATCAAAAACATCATGATCCATGGCAGTCTATCACGCCCAGGCCACGTCCCTTCTTCGGCACTGAAGGCCTTTTATCGCCTGGCCCGCTGGGCTTGGGAGGATCCGCAGCGAGGCCTGGGGCGGTTGGACCTGTTGAGGTTTGAAGTTGAGAAGTTGCTTTCAACACCATCAATTTATAGGGGTAAATTACCATGTTTAAGAAGATATACGTCAGACATATGAGGAGTTGAGAAATGATGCTTGGTTCATGATTCGGGGGTTGCTCCTTCTAATATGTTGGGATTATCAAAGTCCAGTACGGGAAAATCTATTGAGGAAATGTTGGGGTTCGATTTGTTTCCATCCCAATATATACATACATGTGCTGTTCTTCCCCTAAAAAGTTGGTGATCTAGAGCTGTTTGATGATGACAATGATGACGATACGCTGACGATACGCTGACGAAACGCTGACGATACGCTGACGATACGCTGACGAAACGCTGAAGATGACGGTGACGACGACGATGACGACGATGACCATGACGAGGACGAGGACGGTGACGAGGACGGTGACGAGGACGGTGACGATGACGATGACGATGATGATGATGATGATGATGATGATGATGATCATGATGATGACGACCGTTCCGGAAGAATGAATATGCAATGGTTTTTGGCTATTGAAGCTTGAGACTGGTGCGTTGCCAGGTTTCCGGAAAAAAAAACTAGGCCTGGCTAAGGGCATCTCTGCTTGACACCGTATTGTGGATTCACAATCTTATTGGTACTGAATCATCACCTTTGTCCGAACCTAAATGAAAACGTATGTTTTGCCAAAATGAGCCGCATCATTGTGTGTGAAAATTCCCATTTTATCATGTTTAAATATTTTTAATATTTGTAACTATACATATAATATACTAATATACTATATATCATACATATCATATAGATGTCATAAATCAACATATATCAACTTAAGCATAAATAAATAAATAAATATATATATATATGTATATATACAGTTTTATTTCCAGTCAGATACATGTGGAAGTGTCTTAAAATATGTATGCCCTCCAAATGGCAATGTTAAAAGGGAAAAATATGTTTCATCAGCGGATTAAGGAGTACCATATTTCAAGACAAACCTTACCACACATGTGTATATAATTAAATATACATATCAATATTTAACATAGATATCATGTCTTAACATGTTCATTGTATATGTGTGTATATATATATGTATTACATACACAATCATATTCCAGGCCGCCGCACTGGTGCGCTGAGCATCGCCGTCTTCCTGCTGCTGCTGGGCGAGGTGGCGGCGGCCGGCCGCTACAGCGTGGTGCAGAAGAATCTCATCACCGCGTTGCAGGCGACCGGGGGATTTTCCACGGGAAAAATGGCTGGACCTGTCCTACAAGGTGGTGCCCCCCAGAGTTATAAGTTGGTTTATAAACCATAATAAGTATAGATATAGCTACCATAAACCATAGTTATTGGAGTTATAAACCATCATAGAATTGGATGATGGGACAATTTTAACCCGAAACCCCTATATGTGCTGAAAAATTTACCATGGTTTCCGGTTAATAGTTTCCCTTAAACCACTCCATTGACTATAGGAAAATGGGGAAACATGGTGGATGTTGCTGGATTTTTTCAGGGAAAAGGGTCGATCCATTTTGAACCTTAGGATCTCATGATCATGCTATCAAAACCGATGGTCTAAACATCCAAAGTACAGGAATTGGTAATAGCCTAGTGGAAAATGGCTGAACTTTACCCTAGGAAAATGGGTTGGGAATTTTTTGCTGGATTTTTGTTCGCGGAAAATTAGGATGGGCCATAATTGTCCAGGGAAAAATGGGGAATTGTGATTTCACCGGTAAAAAAAATCAGTTCACCCACAAAATTCTTAAGCGACGAAAAAAATGTGACTTTTATATATAGGAAACATATATGGATATATACTTAAACTGCGAGGAATTATATACTTACATTTAAACCATGAGGCGGATGGTTAGTGACTGGGGTCATTTTTGCCAGGATTGCATTGGTGGGAAGTGGAATGAATGGGCTATTTGGATACAGATGGGTTGAGAATAGGAGCAAAGATGATTTTATATAAAAGGCTGCTGTGTTTACCAGAAAATCATAGAACTGCTGGGTCCGCTGAGTAGTGAATGCTTCAGGTATGTTTTCTTTGGCAATATATGGAGGAATCAGAGTTGGAACCACATGACTTGTACTGTAGTGGGACCCCACTCAACTGAGGATCCATGGCTAGCCCACCAGTCCGTAGAATTTCAGGGTAACCGCTACAGTCGCTTTGGCAAGAGACAAACCCGCACAAAGCTATTGGGCCACTTTGCATAAGCTGGCCTGGAGGACGACCAATGGTGGCCAAAGCACGAGTTTTTGCATGCTCTTCGCCAACGCCCCGGGATTGGGTTATACCAAGCTTGCCATGTATGGTTTTCCCTGGTTTTCACAACTATTTGTACCCAAAGCAGCTGGATCAAGCAAGCCGGGATCAGCCCAAGTGCGACACAGTGGTGAGGACTTTGGGGGATGTCCCGCAGAACGCTGGCTTCAGCGACTACCTCCCAGACAAGGATAGCGAACAATAACTTTGGGAGCGTTTGTCACAACTCAGGCCTCACCTGCATTTGCCATTCGGGTCAGGTGCCAGAAAGGAATCTTGTCCAAGGCAAAGGTCGTCGGTCAACTGCCATTGAATCAGCAACAGCTGGTATGACTTTGACACGAGCCGGGCTGAACTTGCTGATGCATAGCTTCAGCCTGAGAAACCATAAAATCCATGGAATGGTTTTGGGGAGGTACGACATCGTTCATTTTCCAGCCATGTGTGGAGGTTCCCTGCATTTTTTTCCTGAAACCAATGCTGGAGAATGTTGGCAATGTGAGCGGGGAGACATTTAGGTGTGGACTCAGAAGTTGTTTTTCAGACCTTCTAGGGGTTTCTTACAGGTACGGGATGCTAGACCATGAAATGGGATTGTTGCAGTGCAAGCAGCCCTTTGAAGCATGTGTATGCATACTGCGTACCCATATGATCCCATATGTTCTATGTATGGAAGATGTGCCAACATTTAATTGCCCCAAAAATCACCCAAAAATGTAGGCAAATGTACCAGTTTCTGGCTTCCAGTTTTAGGATTTACGCTCGGCCCTTTTTTGCTCACAGCGTGGCTTGTCTCTCATGGACGTTTGTGAACATTGTAAAAGGTGGACGTCAGAGAGGGACAAAGCCTGCAGACTTTGCCGCCTGTGTGTGGCTTTAACCCAGGTATCGGGTCAGCCTGGGTTTACTGAGGAGGATTACGATAGGACAGCTGAGCAGTTAGCCAGCATCCTCGGAATCCTCACTTCGAAGGTACTCCTCGCTCCAGTTGGCGGAAGGAGTAGCTTCATTGCTCCTCGGGATACAAATACAAGAGGAGAACTCCCAGGATCAGGGGAGGAACTTCGCTCTCAAGGATCCCCAGGAGAGCGTACTTCAAAGAGAAGGCATTCGGATCGATCGCGGGACAGGAGGCGCCAACGAAGGGCTCCTACCCGATCTCCCAAACCAGAACACAGTCAGTCTCCTCAGTCGCATAGACGTGAAAGGAGGCGACACCATTCCCCCTCACCTCGCGAGGTATCTCGTGACAGGAAGAGGGAGCGATTTAGCCCAAAACAAGAGGAGAAAACTCCCCCTCATAGTGAAGGGTTAGAAAAGGAGCCTGAAAAGAAGGAGATCAAGGAGGAGCAGCCTCCGGATAAGAAGTCCGGTTGGGTTCCTCAGCTGCGAGGAAAAGACAGCCCTTCGGCGCCTCCTCCTCCTCCACCCAAGGGGAGTAAGGAGGTGATCCTGAAAGGGGCTAGCTCTTCAGCTCGGGTGCCCGAGCCTCCTTCTCCTCCCCGCTCTGCGGAGTATAAGGAGAAGAGAGAGGACTTAGGTGAGGAAGCAAAGGGCGCTCCTTCCCAGCCCTCTTCAAAGGGTAAAGGTAAAGGGAAGTACCTTGGGAAAAACCAGAAAGGTTACTACAAAGGTAAAGGCTGGTCTTATTGGGGCCAACAGCCCTGGAATTGGGGCTGGGATTCCTCTTGGGATTATCAATACTCAAGTGAGGGATCAAAGCCCAAGAAAAACAAGGGGAAAGCTCGGGATCAATTCATTGGTAAGAAGATTGAAGAAAGGCGAGCTAAGTCAAAAGCCAAGGGCGGCGGTAAGCCAAAGGAGGCGGACGAGAAGGAGGAAAGTGACAGCTCATCGGTTACTGCTCCTCCTCCGCGCAGTGAAGATCTCCCTCCGCCCGGTACTGTAATAGCGGAGTCTACGGAGGGAGCATCGGGTGCAGACCAAGTTGCGCCTGAGCGAGTTGAAAACTGGGCGGATGCCACCGAAGCTTCGACGCCCGGCTGCAGTAATACAGGCCAGACCGAAGCGAGTCAGGGGGCCTAACGCGAAAGCTAAAGCCCTGTCCAGTACCGGTATCTTGAAAAGACCGGGTGGAAGAATCCCACCATCTCCTGTCGAGGAAGGTGCGTCATGGGTAGAAGTGGAAACCCTGTCAGAGGAAGATCTGAAGGTGGGTCAAAAAGTCCTGATGAAAATTTGGTACGGAGGAGAGGAGGGTCTGATTCATGGAACTGTGAAGGAGAATACAACGGACTCCGAAGGGCGGTGGGTAGGACTGGCAGTGCTGGGAACGCAAGTGCACCAGTTGCGGAGCTTCCTCATAACCAGTCCTCCACCGGCACCTCTCCTGTACCTCTCAAAGATCAAGAGCTCTCCCGAGCAGAGACTTACTACCCCAGGTATAGGTTACTTACTCTCGTATCGAGAAGTGACCAGTGCAGATCGCCTACCATGGATGGACAACTGCGCCGATCAAGAGAGAGGGGTAGACGAGAACGAAGACCTACGTCGAGCTGCTCGAGGTCTGGGACTACCAGCTCCTACAGCAGGAGCCCCTCCCCCAGATCTGGGTATGGGAGGGGAGCTGGGAGAAGGGCAACAAGTCCCAAAGGCCAAAAAGTTGAAAGGCAAACAGAAGGTAAAAAAGATGGTGGAGGCTTCTCGATGGAGCTGCAAGGATACCCCTCTGGATCCCGGCTACAAGAAGCCAATAAAATTGAAGGTAAAAAGAAAGGGGAGCAGTTCGAGCAGTCCCAGCACGGAAGGATCAAGTTCCAATGGAACTTCCGAGGAAGGACTGGGTACCGAACATCGCCTACGGGTGATCGCAAAACGGCTCCCGGGGTATCTTTGCCGAGCTTCAGCGAAAGAAGCAAAGAAGAATTTGGCCGAAGCCACTGGAGAAGCTCCTCAGAGCCTAAAGATCTTCCATCGCTACTACCGCCAGGTCGTGGCACCCCGCGGAGGGTCGAAAGGCCTCCAACGGGAGATGGTTACCCTCTCAGTGTTGCTGGATACACTGATAGAGGGGGATGTGTTGAAAGCGGCCGATGTCGCCGCTCAACGCTTGAAGAGCTTGGAGCTCATGCAGCAAGGGTCGGATCCGAACCTAGCCCAACAGATCGAGCTCATACCCCGAGATCACCTGGGTATGGTAGCCGACAGCGAGGCCCGGTATGCCCAGAAACAATTTACGGCCGAGACAAGGCTGCAGAGGCAACTAAAAGGGGCCCCGGGGTTGGGGAAAGGATCCTGGACCCCTTTCCCAAAAGATTTCCCCTCCTCTCAGCCCAAGGGAAAGCAAAAAGGGTCAGGAAAAGGCAAGGGGAAAGAGAAGACCGGCAAAGGAGTTGCCGAAGCCAGCAAGGTGGTACCTCCGCAGAGCTGATCTGCATCAGTGATGAGGAGGATCCTCCAAGTCTGGCGGAGATAGATGAGCTCATTATGCAAGGCATGATGGCAGCTCAGTCACAGTTGGCCGAAACCGGCCTTCCAATAGTGAAGGAGTCGAGCTCCTTATCGCCTGCGTCACAGAGACAAGGCAACAATGAACAGCCCCCCGTGAAGGTTTCGCTTCTCGAGGATCCGAGCCATGGCGCAGCGTCGGGTGGCGATGCTGATGCAGCGGCGTCGGAGACTGGGAAGGCAATTGGGCCACGGGTTGCTTCCCTGAGTGGGTTAGCTAGACAGGTTTTTAATCACCTCCCCAAAGTCCTGGGCAATTTTAAAGGGGCTAGGCGGGGTTCCAGCATGGAGGGGATTTTTCCGCTCCCCTTGCCTGCTGACCATCAGGGACAGCAGTGCGAGTTGAATCGTACCTGGGAGGAGGGGGTGATACGGTCATTTAATTGGATGTTTTGCAATTCATTTCATTTGGGAAACTCCCCCCCAAACATTCATCAGACCCGACTGTTGGCAGAGATCCGAAGGAGTCTAGTTCTGTTGAAAATTTGGGGGGTGTTGGAATTTAATGAGTTTAACCCAGATAACTTTTTCCGTCAAAGATGGATTAATTCGTATGGGGAAGAAGTGCATGTCGCAAAGCCTTTAAGATGGGAGAACATAGCCACTAGTTTACCCGCGCAAGGCTTGGCAGGAATCTTGCCGGCTGCGGATGTGTCCAAGGATGGTTTTAAAGACTTTTTGCTCCAACCCGATAGGTGGCTGAAACCTATAGCTTCGCGTACATGGATCAGACCACCTCGGGTACAAGTACCGCCTGACGCTTGGAAGGAGGTGGTAGAAGGCCTCATCAGACGGCAGGTGTGTGGGATTATGCCGCTCTCAGAAGCATTCTGTGTAGAGGGGCAGCCCATTTTGGGCGGACTCTTTGGGGTCCCGAAAAACGAATGGACCCAAGATGGAACGGAGGTTCTAAGGCTAATAATGGACTTGCGGCCCATTAACGAGAACTTTCTTCCGCTAGGGGGAGACCTCAGTACTCTACCAGTACTGTCACAAATGGTCCAATTGGAGGTACATCCCTCAGAAGGTTTGATAATTTCCTCTGAAGACATCCGTGCAATGTTTTACATCATAGGGGTACCCCCTGTTTGGAATCAATTTTTGGGTTTCTCCCGTCCCATACCGCGAGAATTGCGACCGGTGGGGGCCCGGGAGGATTACATTTTGTATAGCAAAGTCTTGCCAATGGGTTTTGTCAATAGCGTTTCAGTGGCGCAACATCTTCACCGCCAAATAATTGCCCTGGCTTTCAAAGATACCCTGAATTTCGGACATGAAATTCGCAGGGATCGGGAGTTCCCCAGCAGCTCAGTATGGTTTAGAACTTATTTGGACAACTTCGACTTACTGTCAAAGCAGTCTCAAGCGATTCTGGAAACTGATCATGGGTCCCTAATGGGGAAACTTCGTGATACCTACAATGAGCTTAGAATCCCGAGAAATGAAAAAAAAGGCTGTTGAAGCAGCCCGCTCCGCAGAAATGCAAGGAGCTTGGATTGATGGAGAAAAGGGAACTTGTAGCCCCAAAGGAGACAAGGTAGGAAAATACCTTACAGCCCTTGTTCATGTACTCAATACACGAAAAGTCTCACAAAGGCAGATGCAGATGTTAGCAGGGGGACTCGTTTATCTTTTCTCTTTTCGCAGACCCCTGATGGCAAACCTTAATGATGTCTGGGGTTTCATCACGGGGTTTCACAACGACCGGCAGTACAAGCCGCTGCCGCTGCCAGTAGCTCAGGAGTTGTGGGCCTCCTTTTTCCTCTCGGTATTCTCCTACATGGACTTCCGCTTACCCACGGACCCCATTGTCACGGCTTCAGATGCCTCCGAAACAGGCGGGGGTTTGGTTGCTTCAACGGGGTTAACAGAATGGGGGTCACGGGTTGCGGAAGGCACCGTCAGAGGAGAAGAAATAGAAAGTTTTCAAAATCAAGGTTTGCTGGTCATATCAGCATTTGACGGAATTGGCTCCTTGCGCATCGCATTGGATACCCTCAAGGTCCCTTTGGCAGGGTATGTTTCTATTGAGAAGGATCCCATAGCTCGCAGGGTACTTGAGAGCCATTTTCCATGTTCAATGCAAATCAGTGACATTGAATCTGTAACCCCAGAAACCCTCCAGCAGATAGCTGCTCAATTTCCAAATTGTAAAGCTGTTCTTTTTGGAGGGGGACCTCCGTGCCAAGGAGTGTCACAACTGAACGCTGCAAGACAAGGGGCAATAAAAGATCCTAGATCATCCCTTCACCAAGTATTTGACCGAATTAAAGGGTGGCTCCCTGCGATTTTCCCTTGGTGCCCCATCTATTTTTTGATGGAAAGTGTTGCCTCAATGTCAGATTCGGATAGGGAAGTATACACCAAATCTTCTGGAGTGTTACCCTACAAGGTTGACGCATGTCATCTTTCGCTATGTAGGCGACCACGTTTGTGGTGGTTTAACTGGGTTATACCCACAGGCGAAGGAATTGAAATCTTCCCCCCTCTGTCAAGCTCTGCTTCAGATTGGGGAGAAATAAGATTCCACTATGACTGTCAATCCAAGGACTTCTTGCGACCCGGGTGGACACCAGCCGGAGTTGGTGCTTTTAGCACTTTTACTACGGCTCAACCGTCAAAGGTCCCTCGGTATAAGCCGGCAGGGATTCAATATGCTACCCCAAAGGATCTAGATGCTTGGCACCAGGACCGCTTACGATTTCCCCCATATGCCTATCGTTGGGAAAATGGGGTGATACATGAGCGTAAAGGGTGGCGAATGTTGGACATTAATGAAAAAGAAGCAATTATGGGTTTTCCCATTGATTACACATTCCAAAGTCATCCGAAAGGTTTTCGAAAAGCGAATCCCCTTGAGGCAAATGATGCCCGAATGACTCTCATTGGGAATGCCTGGCACGTAGGAGTGGTTTGTAACCTGTTGCAACCTCTGGTGGCTAGCTTAGGGTTAATCCCTGCGGCCACAGTTTCCCAAATTATGAATCAATGTAAACCGGGGGGTGCATCGGAAGTCTCAGGACTCCTCCTCAGACCTCGAATCAAAGGGTCTATGCCTTTTAAATCCATTGAGCAAAAACCAAAACACCAACTTCTGTTGGTAAGAAAGTTGCTGCACCTGGTGTCTCCAAAGGGGGCTGACGTGCTTTTAAGTAATCCAACCGAGGGCCTGCCGCAATACCATCGGCTCAGGAACTCGTTGAGCCCAAAGCTGTGGCATTGGAAAGTTGTGACGGGCTGGACCTGGAAGGCCAATGGAGGCACGGTGGGCGAGCACATCAATCGCCTTGAGATGCGGGCGATTGACACTAGCCTTAGGTGGAGGATTCTTAAACATAAGGGATTTCGAACCAAGATACTTCATTTAGTTGACAGTCTAGTGTCCCTGCAAATCATTACCAAGGGTCGGACTTCAAGTCGGAAGTTGAGATCTATTTGTAAGCGAATTGCAGGCTTTCAGCTAATTGGAGGGGTGCTACTGACGTTGGGATATACAGCCTCAAAAACTAATCCAGCTGATGCGCCGTCACGGCGCTCCCGAAAACGGAAATGGGGCGACGTCAAATAGTAGAGGGGCTGGAAAAATCCGAACGTCAAAAGCGCCGTGCAACACTTGGTTCTTTGAAATCCCTTGTTCTAAGACCTGCCACAATTACCAGGTACCAAAAAGCTTTCCAATGTTTTATTTCTTACTTGAAATCTTGTCATTTGGATATCTCCTCCACCAAGTCTGGTTTAGACCAACAATTGGTGGATTACCTGGAATTCCTCTGGGAGGATGGAGAATCTCTATCCTTAGCAGGAGATACGTTATCATCAATTCAGTATTATCAACCAAGCGCGAAGCGAAACATCAACCAAGCTTGGAAGATGTTGAAGACGTGGCAGCTCCATGAGCTACCAGCGCGCGCAACACCCTTCACCTGGACCACTCTCCAGGTTGTTCTAGGGTATACCCATTCTATTTCCCCCCAAACCTCACTCGGTCTCCTGCTAGCCTTCAAATGTTTGCTTCGCACAGGAGAACTGCTAGGTGTTACCAACAAGGATATTATTGTTTCACCTGATCAATCTTCTATTTTGGTTCGGCTCGGTTTGACTAAAACTGCTAGCCGCAATCCTTCTTCGGGCACTGTTCATGTTATTGATACTGTTTTAGCACGACTTTTATCAGAATGGCAAAATCAGGTTGCATGGGATGCACCTTTGATCCCATTTAGTGCTTCAAAATTTCGCATTTTCTTTCAGCAGGTTCTTTCAGCTTGTGGACTCCAAGACCTGAACCTGAAACCATATAGTCTTCGACGAGGAGGAGCTACCGACATGTGGATCAGCACTCATTCCTATAACCTGGTCCAACATACAGGACGTTGGACTAGCGAACGAGTCATGAAACAATACATCGATGACTCTACTGCGCTGCTATCCAACATGCGGGTTACTCTTTCTCCAAAGCAAAGGTCATTTATCACTCTGTGGCAAAAGATAAGCCACGTTGAGCCACCAGCAAGCTGGCAGTCTAGGGGTCGTGGAAGGAAAAGAACTAGGTGAATCCCTCACACCCCTACTTCATTTTCGTTTGTGTTGTGTCAAAATTGTTGCTTTAATCATGGCTACGGAGTGGTATATGTCTCCATTCCGGAGAGCAAGGGCCGAGGGTAAGTTGGGTGGTCTAGCCAACTTTTCTACCAACTAACCCTGCTTAGCACAAAAAAGGTGAGTGCGCTAAATCCTAGTTTCTGGCTTCCAGTTTTAGGATTTACGCTCGGCCCTTTTTTGCTCACAGCGTGGCTTGTCTCTCCCGCCCCCAACCACCCTTGGCCGAAGGAAAAGAACTAGGTGAATCCCTCACACCCCTACTTCATTTTCGTTTGTGTTGTGTCAAAATTGTTGCTTTAATCATGGCTACGGAGTGGTATATGTCTCCATTCCGGAGAGCAAGCGCCGAGGGTAAGTTGGGTGGTCTAGCCAACTTTTCTACCAACTAACCCTGCTTAGCACAAAAAAGGTGAGTGCGCTAAATCCTATACATGGAGCATTTGGGATGTGGGATGTTGGAGGCCAGGTGTGTGTGTGGTCAGAGTGGTTGTTCACCCCTCCCGCTTCCCAGGCCAAAAATGCCAAAGTCTTCCATCGCGGACTTTGGCATGTGGGACGAATCATTCTTTGCATCAGCCCAATCATTGCTCTCAGAGAATCTCGGTGGATCATTCCCATGATGGCACTGGACTGCGGCTCTACTTTGTGGCTGAATGTCAAAGATTTGCCTAGATATCCTCTAGTCATCAAACATGTCAACATGGGAAATCCATGCAAATCCCCCATTTGTATATTTGTCGATGATTTTCCCGTTGAAACCTCCAGCGGGGGATTTCCCAGGTTTGAACATCGAAGGGTATATCAGTTTTATCTTCTTGTGCGGGGTCGACTTTTTGTTGATGTAACATTGCAATTTCAGGTAGAATATTGCCGCGTGATCCGCGTGAATCATGTTGCTGCGCTTAGCTTGTGATGCTCCTGGGAGTAGCAATCCCAATAGAACTCTTCGTCTGATTCACATGGGCTCCAATGCTAAACAGCATCCATGTGACCGTCTATGACCCTTGTGGGACACTGCTTAGGATCCCAAGCTTGGTTTTGAATCACCCCTGGATCCCTGGGTTTATCACTGGTTAAGCATGGTTGAGCTAATTCGCTCAAGACTCTGGCAATGGGCCAATGGGCTGTCTTTCCGAACGTGATTTCGGATTTGATTATACGTATATTAATGTTATACATTTTTCTTACCCCCAATGAACCGCTGCTATTCGCTGTCTCGATTGAATTGGGAACAGTTCTTCCTCAAAACTCCTTCAATCAAATAGGATAGAACAAATATCATTTTACAATCTGCCACCCTTGAAAATCACCATGTCTGTGCCCGAAAACGAAACTTTTCAGGGAACGGGGAATCCCTTGTTCTTGTACAATGTGGCCCCCCCAGTTATAACTTGGTTTGTAAGCCCCATTAACTATAGTTATAAGTATCATAAACCATAGTTATTGGAGTTATAGGGGAATTTAGCTATCTTGGGGGCCCCACATTGTAGGAATATGCCGCGGGCATGCTGAGCATGATGTGTCGCACGAGTCTCACCTCTCGCTTGGCACTTGGCTACTTGATGCCCATGTCGCACCTTGGATTATGATGTGTTTGGCAACCAGAATATGAGAGATCAGTAGAATTCATGGGATACCATGGGATATTAATGGATATTATATATAGAATACCATGGGATACTATACTGTATATACTTGTATATGGCTGACAATACAATGATCCTTGGGTGTGGCGTCAAATTTTGTTGGCAATTTAAACAACAAAAATTATGATTGACCATCAAATTTGATCAAATTTGGGGATATCCCATTTGCAGACAAACCAAAATATCTCAGGAAATTTGTCTATGCAATGAGACTCCACCATGTCAACTTCAAGTTTTGGCATAGCTCAGGCTCAGATATAGCCAATTACCCTCTGGTAAGCTAACATAGCTATGGAAAGTCCTTTTTTTACAGGTAAATCAACTATAAATGGCAATGTTCAATAGCTACGTTAAATTACCAGGGGGTATATGGTCTACATACTTAGTACCATTGAGGTGCAATATATTGCAACTGGCATTCAACGGGTAAAAAACGCACGCACTAGCGCGACCAACTGCTGAACATGACTTCCAGGATGGTCCAGGTATCATCTGTGTTATCGGAAGTATCTCCAAAATGGGAAGTGTAATTACTACGAATTTGATCAGAAGGAATGCGGGGAGAATCCGGGTAGAACACTTTTTATCATCGCTGTGCGGTGTCACATGTTTCTTGTTTGGGATTGGTTGAACCTGACAGGATAGAGTTTGGTTTATTTTGGCTATTTGGATGGGGATATACTCTACCCAGGTGAAAATTCTGGTGTTGTTTTCAGGACATCCGAGATTAGGCACAAGCATGATTTAGTATGGCATCATTTCGCATCATTTAGGTCTAATAAATCCAGATCTTGTTGCTTACGTTCGCATTCCTGGCTAAAGCCTTGATTTGGGAAGTACAGCTACTTTGATGGATTGTAGCCATACGCAAGTAGTTTGTTCACTCTTTGGGAGTGGATGAAGTTCAACCATGAGCAGGGGATCAATCATGGTAACAACAATCACAACATATACAATATATGGTCGATACATGTCGATACCGCCCTATTACTAGGGTTGATATCCATGCGACTTCCCAATGGACACTCAATTTCATAGACCCCAATTGGCAATGGTTAAACGGTTTTTCTATATCCCATCATTTCCCATTTGTCCACCCATATGTATTCCGGAATTGAAGCAACATGTTCCATCAAATCTCCTTCGTTGGAATCTAAAGCCAAGCTCTTCCAGCATCAGACGATAGGCATTCCTGGTTTGGAACATTTTTCATTTTTCCATTCAGTTGGGAATCATCATCCCGAGTGACGAACTCCATGATTTTTCAGAGGGGTAGGTCAACCACCAACCAGCCATAGTTATCCCATAATTTCCCCATGTGATTCCCATTGTTTGGTGCCCGTCACACCCATCCAACCCAACCAACGTTCGCACGGACACCGTCCTTTCCGCTCCGCCAAGGGCTTCGTGCGTTTCGAGTGGCAAGGTGGGGGTCCGACCGGGGACCGGGGATCGGAGAAATCCTCCAGCAGTGGGTGACTATTGGTACCTACGAAACATTGTAAATATATAATTAGATGTAAATAGTGAGATTATAATGGAGTAAAAACCTCTACCAACTGGTGCGGGAACTCGTGCACCCCTTGCATTATACAGTATATTACTACAGGTACAAACAGATGAAGATGATGATGTACTTCTGAGACAATGTTTTCACTTCTGGCAGTGACGAGGAAGGATCAGAGGTCGACTGGTCTCCATCAAACTGGTCAGCACTGAGTCAGCACTGATGAAGTATATCCATCTCCCTTTGTACCTGAGGGACCCGTATACTTGACTATATCTATATCCAAATATATCTAATATATATAATATAACAAAAAAATCATACGTGTATACATATAGTATATAGTGTATCCAATGCTCTTAGAGCGATGTTCCATATGTGGAGGAATGGAATATGCCAAGCATGTTAGCAGCATGCCAAGCTGGACCAGGAGGTGTTTTGCATGTGCTCAGGTGAGCCAATCGTGTCCATACTACACGCTGACTTTGACAGGCGGCCTCTTTGGAGCCTGCTGGGGACTCCGCTGGGTGGTAAGATGTTTCCCACGTCATGGCTATTTGGCATGACAAATTCCGGTTGTTTGACGATGCTTCGAGCCTTCAGTTATCTTACCTTTTTTTTCAGGGCAGATATGCCTTGAGCTTCCTTGGGTCATTCCCCCACAAATTGTCATAATGGTTGGTACCTTAAGGTTAAGAGGGGTCAATATCAGAAATAATCACGTATCTTATCCTGGTGATGACTTGGGTGAAGGGATAAGCCTGGAAGGTATCACCTTTTGCAGACCACCAGGTTGATTGTGGTCTGAAGCGATACATCGTGTTTTTGACAATCACAGATATACACAAAGCGGATATACCAGAATCTGCTGAGTTGGTACTGTATATGAACATGTGTGGCTAGGTTTAGTGGGATTTATGTCGATCATAACTATAGCTACACATGCTATAACTGTAGCTTGGTGGGTTTGTAAACCAACTTGTAAAAATAGATCTCCATAACTGGCCACAGGTTCCTCCTGCTTTTTCTCGGAAATAATGGGTGTATCGATGAGAACACCTATCAACAATTGGAAGAAAATCACATCTGTTTTGCTTGGGTGGTTTGCTCAGCAAAATGTTCATCGCGAGGCCAGATTGACAATCCAGATCAACGTATTTGTCCGGAGCCTGAGGGCTTTCCGGCGTTTCCGGTTTCCCCCGCAGGTGATTGGGGCATTGGGTGCTGATCTCCTGGCTAAACAGAACCAATCTGGGTCTCAAACATGCCGTGCGTCCGACCTGTTGATAGTAGTCCTGTCCTCAATTTGTGGGGCTAACCCATCTGCATTCCAACATATTCCAACCATGCAAGAGTTTTTTGGGCTTGGAACTGCCTGATCTTGATCAGATCCCCTTATTGGATCTTATTGGTAATATCATTGGGTTGTCAAGTTCACATTGAGTTTTCTTGGTTGATGTCCCCTTTTGTGCGGTTAGATTCGTTAATTAAAACCCCATGTTTGTTAGTTGAAGGCCCAAATTTTATTTGCTGACTCCCAACCACCCCTACTTGTTAAGTCACAAGTATATGTGTATACCCAATTTTCATACACCCGAATTGTCAGCAACACTATAATATTCACTGTTCTATATAGTTCGATCCCTATTTGAAAGTCGAACCCTTTTTTGGTTGGTATTATAGCCTTTAACCATGATTTAACTAATCAATATATGTATAATATATATATATATATTACATACATGGAGTATAATCATCTGAAGTAGATAGAATATGGGAAAATCAAAAGATATTCCCATTTTAATATTTTAGTTGTGTTTTTTAAATGTCCATCTATCTCCGGGATGATGTCTCTATCCCCGTCTATCCCCCTCTCCCATTCCACATTTGGTTCAGGTCAGGACGTGTCGAGCTGCGTGAGTGCCTCAGTGTCCTTTGCGCAGGACTTGGTGAGGCCGACGATGGGCTGTGGAAATTTGGACCGAGTGGACCAACTGGGGATTTCGCGGGTTTCGCAGATTGAAGGCGCTCATGAAATTGGGGATTTAACGAAGAAAACTGAGGGGATTGAACTGATTTAGTGGAAGTGGGAGTTCATCAAGGAAACTTTAGAAAGATCGGAATTGGTGGCAGTTAAACACGCAATTTTAGGGTCTGGGTCCATTTTTTGCGACCTGGTCCATAAGTCCAGATGGGTCGGTGCTTGAAGACCTAACCAGCAAACATTGGGATTTGACATGATTAATTCAGCAGCCATGAAGTAGGGATTATATAGGCAACAAACTTATCTATTTATTGGACTATAAATTGACCCAGATATTGGATAGTCAGTTCTTACCAGCCTTCAAAGTCAATGATATGATTCAAGTGTTTGTTCACCAACGTAAAAACACGGAACATTTACCAACCATGATGGGGATATTTTGTTGGGGTGTGGTGATTTTCCACTCGGTAAATTCGGTGATGCAACCCCCAAGATGATGCTCTATTGATGTTTATAGATGACATGGTAGTAGATCCGGTAAAAAAAATACTACAAGGTGGGGCCTCTGAAGTACGAGAACTCAGATACCTACATTTTGCACTGTTGTTGTTTGTCCAAAGATAGGGTACATGATTTCTGACTTTGGGAACAGGCAAAAAAGCGATCAAACATGGTAAGGATGTGATGGTGGCCCAGTGGCAAAGTGCCAGTTTGGTGATGACTCAAAGTCGGTTGTTTTGTATGGGATGTCAAGCTACCATTACTTGGTACCTAGAACCCTCCAAATACCCCAAAACAGGGAAAAGTACTAAGACACACAATTTTTATGCTACTTGGAGAGTTACTAGTAAGACGATCTCTGAAGTCAAGAACCATATCTGCTGATGATTAGAGCCTGGGTAATGATCACTTCGGTTAGTGGGATAGATTGGGAAATCTGTCGTATATCTATTCCATGACGGATCCAACGTTGGATGGGATGATATGGGAATCTGCCAGCAGTTTAGCGGATTACATGTTACATTGATTTACATTGTTACAAGGACGATTTTCAATGATTCAGTGTTTCGAATCTACCCTCCGGAGATCAAATGTGGCAATTGAACATCGCCATTGAGTTTGATGATTTTGCGAACGAAACCTCCGAATCGATTTGGGGGATTTTTTAGCCGCGTTTTATTACCAGAGGGTATATGTGTCACTTTCCAACCATATTTTGGGGACTGTTACCTCAATCCGCTTGGGACCGGTTCAGTGGGAATATCTTCTGGTCATCTATAGATATGTCAAACGAAGTTTGTTGTGAACTTGAGATGTAGTGCACAGGATTTTACAATTGTGGCAACCACAGGGAAATTGTGTTTTTAAGCCTGGCTTAAGAAAACCTTGGTTATCAAACTTAGCAACTACTAGAATTCCAGATTTTCAATGGGTAGAGTACAGCAAAGATGATTTAGCCAACCATGATCTAGTGTACAGCAAAAATGACTTGTAAATTTGTGTATCAGTGTATAACCGTAACCCTTTTCAACTGTAGATACATCGGTGTATCCTCGCTGTAGTTATAACCAATACATATATTTATATATCATCATCATAATATATATATATATATCATATAATGTACATGTTAAACCTCTCATAAATCCAATCTGACTCCCCATGTTTGGTGGTTACATCTTATTTTTTTGGGGGGTTATATCCCCATGTTTCGCCTCAGGACGTGTCTAAGTATTGCGACCTTTGCGCCAGTGCTCTATGCCATCTCGCCCAGGGCGTGTCTGGGCGGGATGATTTATGCGGTGCCTTGGCCGAAAAAAACAAAACAAAGTGGGAGGATGCCCAAGAATCCTATGGGAATAATGGGATTTAGTGGAAGATATGGGAATATATTGGGGATAAAACGGCGATTTTGGTGGGATATCCAGCAATAATAGGATTTATTGGGATTCAAATGTTTTTTTTTGCAGAGATTATGATGGGAATATAATGGGAATATAATGGGAAATAATGTTTTTTTCTACCCTCTGGTAATTGAATATAGCTATTGAAAATTGCCATTTAATTTATAGTTGATTTACCTATCAAAAATGTGGTTGTCCCTACCTGTGTTAGTTTACCAGAGGGTAATCTGGATTTAACAATCAAAAACGATGATTCAACCAACAAACATGTATAATATATATAGATAGATAGATAGATAGATAGATACATAGCTACATAGCTACATAGATACATACATACATACATACAGACAGACAGACATACATACATACATACAGACATACATACATACATACAGACATACATACATACAGACAGACATACATACAGACATACATACATACAGACAGACATACATACGTACAGACATACATACATACAGACAGACAGACATACAGACATACATACATACAGACAGACATACATACATACAGACATACATACAGACAGACATACATACATACAGACAGACATACATACATACAGACAGACATACATACATACAATAGGGATTTAATGGGTATTATTTGGATCAATTAGAATGACAAAACCCTGCGACTCCCCTGGAATGATGTTTGCTTAGAATTGGGATAACTATCCCAAGAAGGAGCCTTGTTTCAGGTTAGTGAATTATGGTAATTTATCAGAATGATGACATGAACCAATTCTCCGACTCATGGGGGCATTAGTCATTTTTTCCCAAGCAGTGGTACACAACACTTACCATAGAGTAAACCAACATAGATGTGGAAAATCAACCATGTGTAGACGATTTTCCTGGGGAAACCATGGCTTTTCTACACTATGTTAGCCTACCCTAGGTAATGTTTCCTGGATTCATATATTTGTGGTTTAAAAACTGCAGCCTGTGGTCTCGTTCGCCGCTCTGGCAATGAGTCCATCACATTCCGCAGCTTGGTTTGCTGCCGCACGTGCCACGTGGATGAAAGGTTTCTGATTTTTTAGAGTAATTATTGTATATTATGATTGCAAGACTTTCTTTTAGGACATCTTGAAACCTTTCTAAGATGGGCTTAGGCTAAGACTCATGAGCATCTTCTTGTTTTGGTAATCGAGGTACCTGCATGTTCACTGCAGCTCGCACACACAGACTATCACAGACTAACTATGTTTGCCACGACATTATCAGAACTTTGATGAGAATCTGATAATTTCAATGGCACAACAGGCAATGCAACATGTTATCTACTGCAAGTGTCTAGAATTAAGGGTGTTCCAGTCCATCCATTGAAGCTTTGAGGTAAGTGGGACCCTTCTGGCAGCACGTTTCTTGTCAAACAAGAATCAATGGAGCCCATGTTGAAGGCCTTTGACCCATATCATGCATAGGTCGGATAACAAAATAGTGGTTGTATGGGTACAGAACTGCCATGGTGGTATTGACTAGTGCATGTTCTCAAGGTTGTCTTTCATGTGGACTGTGTTTTTTCTTTAAACCGTGTTGTTACCATATGAGTTCAACCTTCCAGTGAACTTACCCTCTGGTTGTCTAACATGGCTATGGAAAATGGATGAAAACTGCACATTTATGGATGATGGATGATATTTTACTAAAAAATGATTTTCCATCGCTACGTTATCCAAAGAAAAAATCCTTCTCAGGTCAACAGCATACTCTTCCGGGGAGTTCGACCTTTCTCACTAGACATGAACCATCACAAACGAACATGTTTCATTCTGGTATAATATTTGAAATTAAGTGAATATTTTGCAGAGGTAAAAATGATATCGGTCCAGCTTACCATCTGGTAACATGGCAAGCCGGAAATCCGTCATTTCCTCAGATGGGCACCGCACGCTTCAGGTGGTTTCGGGACCTGGCTGGGCTTCTACCAGATGAAGAGTGTGCAACATGAAGCCGATTTACGTGCCTGGGTGCAGTTTGGCAAATGGGCACCAGGCTTGGTTTCAGGGAAAAGCTGCAGGACACCTTCTAGTTTTTATGGTAAGAAAGTTGATTCCAGACATGACAAATTGGCTGTTGTTTGTTGGGGAAACAGAAATAGTCTCTGATTTTGGACATTCCGAAGAGGATGGATTGATTTTTTGTGGACGACAGCGTTTTCATAGGCTACACCTTGAAATGTCAGGAAAAACAGAGCTTTGGAAGATAACCTTGCAAAATTTCTGCGTTCCCGGTTGCAAGCAAGACCAATTTGAGGCTCTTCAATGTTGCCCCTTAAAATATACGCCCCGAAATGGATACTTGAAGTGCTAAACGTGATCAATCCTCCTTTTGGACGCTGCAAATCCATGTTGAATTGTGTGTGTGTGTTTGTCCATTGGTACACTGTTCAGCAACAGCAACATGAAAGCGCAGAATGAGCAGATCTACGTCACTAAACATCAGGTGCCGGGTGTTCCTCCCTTTCCATAGGGTTTTCAGCGTTTTTGGATCAGGTCCAACTAAATAAAACCATGCAGTAAGCGAGGCCTTGGTTCTTCAGTTCAACGCATTTTTGTTGAGGGGGCCCTAAACCTTTACGGGAAATATCAGCAGAAGAAACTCTTCGGCAAGGGCCCCACTTTTGACCCCGGGATCTGCAGTGCTTCACTTTTGAGGCTACAAACTCATTCGCGTGCGCGAAAATGCGGAGTCAATTGCCTTCTTCGAAGGCCCCGTTTGGCCAACCTCACCATGGATCGGGGTTGCTTAAAATGGGGGAGATCCCCATATCAAAACCATGGGGTTCAATACCAAAATGTTGACTTCGATGATTTGGAGGTACCACCATTTTAGGAAACCTCTATAATAGTTGAAACATGTTGAAACCATTTCTCAAACGGGTTCATTCCAGAAATGACAATGATTTAAGGCCAGATCAGGTGGGGTCCACGGGGACGTGAAGAGCTGATATGACATGACTTGGTCGTCAGATTGGTCTTGAAATTGACCCCCCCAAGAAAGGCTTCAAAGGTGATCCTTGCAGAAGGAACGCAGAGAAAGCTGTTTGAGCAACGAAGATCATTGCTTGTTTAACACCTTAAAGATCGGCATAAACATGCACAAAGAAGTGTGGCTCTGTAATCATCCAGAGGGGATGTGGTATCCCATGCCATGGTAACCATCGCCAGGAATCGAGGATCATGTCCATTGGCCAACAGTCATGTCCCTTATTGGGGCTATTGAATCGTAGGAATGTGATAGTGGTAGCCCTATGACAATGATCTACATGCCGGTTTGTCTGAAAATAGGATGGCACATTCCATCCACTATCATTGAATCATATTCATCATCTTGTTCACTAATGTTCTTCATGGATCACCAGCCTGTGGGTGGAAGCGAAACCATGCAAGAAGGGGCCCGCTAGATAGGTAATTTTTACCTACATAACCAGTCTATCAACTGGATTTATTGGGATCTCCCATGAATTATTCTGATATATCTATATAGTTAAACTGGTTGGTGGTTTGGAACAGTTTTTATTTTTCCATATATTGGGAAAAGTAATCCCAACTGATTCATATTTTTCAGAGGGGTTGAAACCACCAACCAGTAACTCAGTAAATGATAATTCTACAATGAAAATAACATTGTAGAACCGTTCCAGAAAAACATCTCTGGGGACTCCATGAGACCCCCGGGGCATGCCAGGTGGAGCGGCTGAATGGTCCAAGTTTAACGGAGCCTTCCAGGAATTGCTACGGACCATGTACAAAAGCGTCCCTGGGCGAGTCGTCGCCGTGGGGACGTCAGTTTCGGATCTGGCTTGGGATGGGTTGGATCGATGGAGAGATGGGAGATCTATGCGAAATGGGGCTTCATTGGAATCATTGGATTGCAGTTATGGCCATTTATCAGTTATAAGTACTAACAAAACCCATTGATAGAATGTATAATCCCATAGAAATAACCAGTTATAACTGGTAAATGGCCATAACTGTGGTTGAAGGGAAAAGATTTGAGTTAACGGAGTGGTTGAATGGATGGTTCCCTCATCGTCTGTGCCCCTAAACCGCTCTTGGGGCTATAGTTGCTCGAAAGATGGTCTTTGAATAGGACGAAGATGATCAGATGGGCTTAAAGTGCCACGCAAGTCGCACAAACCAAGCGTTGCACAGGCTATCGTTTGTGCACCTAAACCTTCGTTGTGATAATGGCAAATTTCACTTTTTGAGGGATGTCTCGCACGAAAGCGGCGTTTTCACATCTTCAACTTTCACTTTTTGAGGAAAGTCTAGCACCAAAGCTTCGCTTTCACATCGTCAACTTTCACTTTTGAGGGAAGTCTCGCACGAAAGCGTCGTTTTCACGACCTCACGGTGCAGCTTTTTAAGGATGTTTCGCAGGATTGCGGCGTTTTCACGACAGGAGGGAGATGAGAAGATAAGACCTCAAGCTTTTCGACATCCATGTTACAATTTCGAAACGTTAGCTCCGGGCTGGCCTTTGGATTATAGAGGGGGGTAGAGGTTTTGAAACCCCCCTTGCATCAGCAACTTCAAAGCCTTAACTTAACATTGTTCCAGACATGACTCTGCTATTTTCAAATCATATACATGAGTGATTTCGAGAGGTCATACCCCTCAGAAGTATGTTTCTATGTGAGAGCTTAGGGGCGCAGATGATGAGTGAACCGAATGGATTGGTTCAATGAGACTCAGTGCTCAAAAATCATTAAACATCTGCAGGAATGTCCATTGTTTGACAACCACATGGGTTTGTCTGAAACTATACACCGAAGTTATGGCCATGTTAAAAATGTGATAGGGAAAATGATCGTGAATCCTCAAATTTAGATGATTTTCATAAATGTTATTCAAACCCAAATGCAGGGGTTGACGACAGCGTTCCTTGCATCCACTTGTGGGATTGCGGCCTTTTAGTTGCGGGTCAACTCCTATTTCGAGCATTCAAGGTGCCTTTTTCGTCGCTTTGGTCGCAACGAACCCTTGGAATGGTCACATTTGAGAAGCCCAAAGACGTGAACTATCAGTTGTATGTCTATATATACCGTCATATACCTATCTACCCATCATTACCAGCTTAATTATCTACCCACCTACCCACCTATCTACCTATCTGTGAACCTGCATAGTACATACCAACCCGAAAAAGATTCTCAAAAATGTTTTTCCAGGATGATAGTTCGATGATGTTTCCCACATTTTCCCACCTATTTTCCAGGTTTTCAACGTATGTTCGGCATTTTTCTTGGGGGGTTGCTAGACATTATATATATATATACACGGCGGTGTCCTAAAATGGGGGGACCCCAAAATGGAGGGTTTATAATTATAATGGACAATCCCATTAAAATGGATGATTTGGGGGTACCTCGTTTTTAGGAAACCTCCAGGTTCTGCTGACCACTGGCTACAGCATGGTGAATCGAACCTTTCACTGGGCGACCTTCGCAGTGATTCCAATGCTGGTGGGACACTTGGAGCTACGCCCGACGGTAGTCGGAGCTGGGAAAGGCTAGGGAATGCTAACATGTATATACGGTTAGAGAGCTATTGAATGCTATTGATATAATATCTATTATTGACACATCTATTATGGATATGGTTATTGAATGTTATTGATATATCCGTAGACATTGATGTGTACATTAGATTTATGCATAGGGCAACTGTCAAGGCCCGAACCCCGGGGATTTCATCGATGTTTTGACACGTTTTAAGCAGCAAAATCAAGGCGATGCTGGCCAATTTATTGGGGATGTAACTTACCAAGCCCCAAACTTGATAAACAAATCGGCAAAGTTAGGTCTTCAACCAACAAGATTTGGGAAACCTTCCAATATATGGGCATTTAATCAGCCGGCGTTTAAAGAACGTCGATGACTCGACAAAAACATGAATATCGTGGTGATATCTGGGTTCATTGGAACAAAGTCACATAAATACGTGTACATATTATACTATAGTACATTCCTAAATACGTCATAATATGTGATTTTTACAGTACATTATATCAGTTCATGTCATATCATATTATAGTTGAGTCTGTATATGATTTGATATTACTGTGTGATTTCATATATATATATATACCCTGGGGTAGTCAAACATGGCACTCATCTATAGAATTGAACCCTGCAGTGTACGGGATTTCCCAGCTGCCAGCTAGCCATGTTTGATTACCGAAGGGTAATTACAGCCAAAAGCATTGATCATCATTTTCAAGAACCATTGCTAAAAACACCAGGGTTAAACAGTATGTTGTTGGTTGAATTAAATCACCACAACTGTATAATCACCAGAACATCACCGTAACAGCACCATATATTACAGTAACCATTAAAATCACCATACATTAGCCATAGAATCGCCATGAAATTTTATCAAAATCACCTCTTGGCATCACGGAGACGTAAAGAGGACCGGCCTACCTGGAGGGCAAGATCGAGTTTGGCGTCATCTCCCAGGAGAGTTCCGGGAGTTCCCAAGAGTTGGCAGGTGACCCCCATATTTGGCTGGTTGGTGGTTTGGAACAGGAATTTTTATTTGTATATATATAATATATACATATATGGGAATGTCATCATCCCAGCTGACTTTAACTCCATGATTTTTCAGAGGGGCGTTCGTCAACCACCAACCAGTTGGGGTTGGAAATGGGTATGATGGGTATGCTCCCCTGGCATTCTGTGAATGGGTTCCATGATGATCAACCAGTCCATGGAATGGGGGCAACCATGTTTTCAGAGAAACCATCATTCATCAAGTCCGTGTAGAGGTTTATACAACAAACATTTGATATTGGGCCCCTCATTGGACGGGTATATCCTGATTTATGGCAACTTTGATGTATGTTTGCAGGGAAAAATATGGTCTAATCGTTGGATTTTTGGGGTATAGGGCTGGACAAACCGGGATCTCAAGTACTACAAGTGGTTCCAAAATGTTAAAAAGGTTCCTACACAGTTTGTTGGTTAACAAGATGATCTGAATAAAGATGTATCAATCATTACCGCCTTATGTTTGAATTTGGATTGACACAATATGAAAAAGTTGCAAATGGTAATGGTTCCTACACAGTTTGTTGGTTAACAAGATGATCTCAATAAAGATGTATCAATCACTACCGCCTTATGTTTGAATTTGGATTGACAACATATGAAAAAAATGCAAATGGTAAAGGCTCCTTCACAGTTTGTTGGTTAACAAGATGATCTGAATAAAGATGTATCAATCACTACCGCCTTATGTTTGAATTTGGATTGACACAATATGAAAAAGTTGCAAATGGTAATGGTTCCTACACAGTTTGTTGGTTAACAAGATGATCTCAATAAAGATGTATCAATCACTACCGCCTTATGTTTGAATTTGGATTGACAAAATATGAAAAAAATGCAAATGGTAAAGGCTCCTTCACAGTTTGTTGGTTAACAAGATGATCTGAATAAAGATGTATCAATCACTACCGCCTTATGTTTGAATTTGGATTGACAAAATTTGAAAAAATGGTAAATGGTAATGGCTCCTTCTGAGCTGCTGGTTTCCAAGATGATCTCAATAAAGATGTATCAATCACTACCGCCTTCTGTTTGAATTTGGATTGACAAAATATGAAAAACAATGGCAAATGGTAAAGGCTCCTTCTGAGCTGCTGGTTTCCAAGATGATCTCAATAAAGATGTATCAATCACTACCGCCTTCTGTTTGGATTGACAAAATATGAAAAACAATGGCAAAGGGTAAAGGCTCCTTCTGAGCTGCTGGTTTCCAAGATGATCTCAATAAAGATAAATATCAATCACTACCGCCTTATGTTTGAATTTGGATTGACAAAATATGAAAACAATGGCAAATGGTAAAGGCTCCTTTCGAGTTGCTGGTTTCCAAGATGATCTCAATAAAGATGTATCAATCACTACCGCCTTATGTTTGATTTTGGATTGACAAAATATGAAAAACAATGGCAAAGGGTAAAGGCTCCTTCTGAGCTGCTGGCTTCCAAGATGATCTCAATAAAGATGTATCAATCACTACCGCCTTATGTTTGAATTTTGGATTGACATATGAATAAATGGCCAGGCCACCATGGCATTCAACATCATCCTGGAAGCCTTGACCTTAGCCATGCACCGCCTGGAATCCTTGAGCGACCTCTCCGTGCGCTTGCGGCGCCTGGAACATCTGGAGGACGCACTCAACGATCGACGAAGTGGGGGAATTCATGGGATCCTTAGTCATGAAAAAGCGGATGGTGAACAAGAACTAGAATAAACAACTGATGGTGATTTTTTTAAAAAAACCTAGGGTTTCTTGGAGAGTTAAAAAAAACAGGACTTTTGTTTTTGAGAGTTTTATCAAATCGAAGTTTTGTTTTCCAATTTTGATCGTAGGACATTTGCGTCTGTTTTGCAGGAGGGCCTCTTGGAACCCTTCTGCCCGGTTTTTTTTTGATTGGGGAATAGCCGAAGCCTGTGAAAATCCATTGGTTTTGATTTAGCTATAGCTGCCGGTGAGAAAACTGGCGAAGCTTTATTTGAAGATATTAAAGATGTGGTAGTTACTAGTTCGTAATCTAAGCTGGCTATGATAAATCCCAAGGTTTATCACCGTTTATCCTTTGTAAAATTATATATATATAACTGATAGCTATATTGATAGATCATTGTCCCATGAAAAAACAGGGTTGATTCCATTGTCAGGCTTGTTTACGAGAAGGCAAGTCCAAGAATACCCTGGTCTTTGTCTCAATGGATGTACCGAGAGCAGCAATCTACCCATGGAAGATGCGTAGAAGTACGCAGTTCTTGGATTTATATATATACTTACTGATTGTGGAGAGTGAGGTTCTGAGGTAGATCTCAAGAATTGATGCCTTGCCACCAAACATGCCCTAACCATGCCTAACCATTGCAACATGGCTGACTTGTCGCCTGAGACATAGATGTCCCATTTCATGTTGCTTCAATCAGGAGGCATCAGGCGGCAATATTTGTACCAAACCGACCTTTCTGCTTTTCCCAAGAGGACATGATTGGATTGAATTGCTTGCTTTGAGTCAACCAAACTTGGAGTTGTTTGCAGGGAATGGCCAGATCACCCCTATAACTGTACCACTCGTTGGCGATTTACTTAGTGTATCGTGGATGGCTACGTGCCATCCCTCTATCTGCCCGTGAGACTCTCGTAAGGTCCGAGTTGCAGGGCTCTCTACTACGCTTTAAGCAGGTGACCTTGCGCACGCCGACACATCGCGATGTCCCACCCAAGGCGCAAAAAAGTGTAAAATCCATCTGTTGGGTGAAGATAGCAGTTGCCAAAGTGATGATTCTAGTTGCAAGGTCGTTAAATTCTATATATATATATATAATATACCTAGAGACTCGAGCGACATCAAAATTTTGATGCTGGTCTAGCAAAACAGTGTTTCATCTGATTGCCGCTGAAATTTCTGGCATGCGCCGTTCTTTGGGAAACAAATATGGTTTTAGATTTTGGTGTTGGAATGCGCCGTTTTTGCCAATGATTGCACCGTTTTTGCCCGTGATTGCGCCGTCCTTGCCCGTGCAGAATTTCCATTGCGCCGTTTTTGCGGAATTGCGCCATGTTTTCTACATTGCGCCATTCTTGTGGACTTGCGCCTGATTTTTTTGTAGGTTGGGAATGCGCCCGAAATTTTGGATACATGAGTCACTAGGTATATATATATACACACGCATAATGACATATAGTATTATCAATTATTATATGTGTATATATATAAATGTACTGTATATGGATTCTGTTTGATATTTTTGGTGTAAAATAACCATCAATTAGTGAGCCATCCACAACTATTGGAAAATCAATCATTTATTTATGGTGAATCGATTGTGCCAAGGATCAGCCCACTTTCTGTTCATCCCACGAGCCTCGCCTCCAGGTGCTCTTTGAGAAGTTATCCTTCGAGGTGTCAGAGGGGCAATCATTACTGGTCTCAGGCGGAAAGTCCTGGGAACTTGGAGTTGGTGGGGGAGGTGTTTGATGATCCGTTTCTATAGAAATGAATTGCTGAAACCCAGTGGATTTTGGGGAATTTTAGAAGGACAACCAAGCCGATCTGATTGTGTTCATTGAATACACTGAACCTTTTTGCAATGCCTGAGCAATGGCTAAATTTGTTGCTAATCCAACGGGGTTTGAGAAGACGATTTGATGGGGAAGTTTTATGAGGCAACGGATAGAATACCCTCTGGTAATTTAACATAGCCATGGAAAATCACATTTTTTTAAGAGGTAAAATCATCTATAAATGCCCCATGTTCCATAGATTCTTTTAGAGGAGAGCACCACTTAGATCATGTTTGATTGGGTCCATTAAGCCATGATTTGCGTGAGATCGGAATGATAAGGACAGGTTGGTCAGATGTCACTGCCTTTGCACGATGTATTGTGCGGGGGCGTGACCCAACGCACACAAATGTTCTACTTGTGGTGATTGAAACTGAAACTGCTGCTCTTAGAGAGAAGGCATAATCATATCTATCTTTTCTTGCAGTTCTGTTTGGGTGAGGAACAAAATATTCATCTGCAATTCTGCCAGCAGGACCTAAGACCTCAGCGAAATGATCCACAGAAGTCTCTGGATTCTGCGTGGAGCGAAGATTTGCCAGGTGAAAGCGGCATTGGCAAAAGTTCCTTGCTTCGGGCCGCTGCAGGCCTATGGAAGGATGGCGCTGGCACCATTGCACCTCGGAGACCCACTTTTTTTGGGATCTGTTTGGGCATAGCCTAGCACCCCAGATCTCCACAACTAAGGGTGTAGAGACAAGCAACCAGGGATTACTGCAGGTGGTTGGTGGTGTTTTTTTTGCTCAGCATTTACAGCATCTTATGGCTATATTTGGTTGGAATATTTTGAGATGGTGATCCAACATGACCCATATATTTCCATTTTCCGGGTTGCAAATCACCGAGCAGACTACTCGTTGACAATTCAGGTGAGATGGTGTGGTTTTGGGCATTCCCAGACATGTCATGAGAATCATACAGAATCGTTGGATTGATACCAAAGCTGAGGAATTGTGTGGCAGATCGTCAGTCTTCTTCATGCCGCAAAAACCCTACATGTTTCTGGGCTCTTTGAAGGACCGGTTCAGACTCCCTGAGGATTTTGTTTGGGTTCGAACATCGTTTGGAAATGATGAAATCTCCTGCAGGCCCCTCAAAATTCACGGATCAATGATGATCAATGTGAGTATTCAGTGCCATATATATATAATTATATGTGTATATATATATATTATACACATATAATCATATATATATATATACAAATATATATATATATATATATATAAATACATATTGTATTATATATTTCAATATATATCAAGATATTTCAGTACGTTAAAGAAGATCCTCAAAGAATCAGCTTGAGACATCACTTGTTTGACCAGGATCAGCTGCTGTATCCCTGCGTAGCTCACGAGATCCCGGAGGACGCCATCAGAGACGCCTTGCGACGAGTTCGGCTCGAGGACCTGCTGCAGGAGCATGGCTTGTGGGACCCTTGGAGGAATGCGGAGTCGAGGATAGGAGAATCGGAAAATCCCATGGGAAAGTCCACTAGATTCTAGATTTCTATAGATTTCTACTATATCAACGGAGCTTTGGGAAAATTTGATAGATGATGCCGCAGTATTTGCTGATGATTTTTGTTGATTTTCCCACGAAGATGTGGCTTATGTTGGGGAATCTATGGGGAAATTCTGTTCGATATTTTGGGGTTAGCAAATCCAAGAAGATGAATGGCTAAGTGCCAGCGATGTTGATGGGTGAATCATGGCAAAAAATAAGAACACACAACCTAAAGAGGGCCAGAAATGGCCAGAAATATCATATCATGTTAACAATGTACATCTGCTGTTTCTTTTTCGAATTCTTCCAAGCGCCATCTCCTTTTCAAACATGATTTGATTCGTCACTGCTGTTGATCTCCGATTCTCAGGAAGTCAAGGACTGGGCCAGTTACTTGGAAGCATATGTCGTTTACCCGTTCCCGGGTAAGCCAAGGCCTGGGAGAGACTCTGTTTCTTCAATTTTTGAGAAACATATATATCTGGGTAAATTATAACGACCTCACTGCGACCTCACTGGAATCATGGTTAATAAGAGGAATTATCCCCAAATGGCCTTAATTCAGGTTAGTGAAATATTATAATTTACCCATATATATATATGCATACATACATATATATATACATATATATATATATAGAGATACATATATATATATATGTGTATATATATACATAGATACATATAGCCTTAGTGTTACAGGAGTTATGATCCCATGGCCATAACTGTACTGTTTGGATAAAAAAATATGAAGGGTGCCCCTGTCTCCCCCGTCCGGAAAAGCTCCAGGCCTTTTGTCGCTGGGACAACAGCAACGTATCAACTTTGCTTGGGTCCTTCTGCGTCCCAGTGCTTGGGATCAATGCGATGGGACAAGCTAAACATGGCACGCTGGGGAGATTTAAAAAAAAAACATAATTTAATCATCCAAAAAGGGGATATCATAGGTATATATATAATTTTTCAACTAATGAGTACATATGAATACTATATGTTACCTTCCAGTGATATAATAAAACATGGCTGGGAAATGCCCTAAATGGCTATTTACATCGGAAAATCATCCAACTATTGGTGGATTTTGCAGTGCCATATGTACCGGAGGATATGTTCGCTGGTTTACAACCACCATGCCATTATATAACTAGTTCCATACATCTACCATAAAGCCTAGCTATTGGAGTTATTTGCATCAACTAAGCTACCGAACTCGGGCACCACCTCTGTAAGTTCCTGGATATTCTTGTAGTACGTTGTTACATCGACTTAGATCATCCACACATAATTACACCTAATTTTGCAATTTCGTCTGATTAATAGAACCTGACAGATTGGTGGATTTACCCTCGACTCTACTCCATGCAGCGAGGTCACCTAGGCCAGGGTCGATGGTCTTAGCTGTTTATTGGAAGATGCTTACCCTCTGGTGTCATCAAAGATGGCAGTTGAGAATGCGCATCAATGGAGGTTTCAATAATGGGAAAAATCCGAAAATTCATCGAACTAAATGGTGGAGCATGTTTGAGGGCCCGTGAGGGTATATCACAGGATGGTAAGTGCAGCAAAAAAGCAGAGAACAAGAGTTGTTTGAAAAAGCAGGGCATCAACTCGTGGCTTCATGTCTCATGCACAACTCTGACTTTCGTTAAAGAAAGTGGCGGATAGCAGACTCGTTTCGATCACCTGCCGACCTCCTTCCCTTTCGCAATTCTTTGCACTGGCCAGAACTTAGATGGTAAGTATCCCATTGGTGGTATATGTTGAATGGTCGATGGTTTAGATACCCATATTTGGGATGGATGGTCATCAATCTATCAATCTAATAATAGTGATGTGTACAATGTACACCTATGATAAATCAGCATTCCCGTTCAGGACGGATGCCTACAAAGCAGAAACAATCTTTTGACCAGGCACTATCCCTTTATATAATTATATATATATATATATCCCACTACATCCCCACATCTGGTAGTTATTCCCAATTTTTGTTGGGTAAATACCTTTTGCTGAGGTATTTCTGGTGTTTTTTCGTGCTCAATCCCAATATTTTCGGTAAATCCCACTAGATACCTTGTACATCCCACATAAAGCTGAGGTATTTCTTTTGCTTTGATGGATGAGTGCACTTCAGCCTGCGATCCTGCCAATGAGTTCCATTTGCATCTTGGATGGATGGTGGGCAAGATGCTGTCAAGTGCGACAAGGTGACAGCGATTGATTTTTGAAGAAGTCCTCAGTATTCACATGACACCCGCTTTCAGTTTTCTTGGTGCTGGTTGGTTTTATCTGAAAATATTGGGAAAAAAACAAACTTCCATGAGTGATGGTCATGTTTCAGGATGTTTCCCCATAGCAATTGCTATGTCAGCTGAGCTGTTTATCCAGCATTTTCAGAGAACCCCATGCTGTGAAAAAAGCTGCATGTGAACTCAGCGGGGCACAAATGAGTCGACTGATGAGACGACTTTGTGGAAGCTCTCAGATAGTTTTGCGGTTTTCTCCAAAATTCGTGGTAGAAAAGCTATGGCAGTTTTCATTGAGACGAGGTTTTAAGTTTGGCCAAGAACTTCACTCCCTCGCAATACAATCGCAACACCAGCAACGTGCAGCAGGGCAAGGTATTGATCATTATTGATCTGCATGGCAATGGATCCAATGTCCGCAATGTTGTTGAAGCAATGAACAAGATAGCATTGCAGATTGGTTGCTACTCGATGGATTTCCAGCATGCTGTGCTGATTATCATAATCCACCTGGGAATCCCTATCCACCCCCAGGCCATTCCTGGAGGATGACAGTAATAGCAACAGCGAACGAACGAAATCATATCTCCCTAACGGACTAGCTCATAAAGATATGGTTTGTGAAAAAAATGATTTGGAACACATCCAATTTTCATGGTACTGTAAATCATAATATGTCCGATTGACATTATATATTTAAAATTGCCATATGGGCGTCCCCCCTTTTCAGACGGACCCATTCGGTTCAACGGCAAGACCTGATGCTATCATGCAACTCGAGAAGGTGACAGGGAGTCAGAGGGAAGGAGTGAAAAAGAAGTGAGAGAAGAAAGTGTCAAGAAAGCATTTGCAATGAAATTACAGTCAGACATTTGAGGTTGCGGATCAATTTTGTTTTTCTGAAGGTTCGTGTATGTTCATATATATGAAATATGTGTATTGTGAACGTTGTGAACAATGAAAAAATCTCGCAATCTGCTAGACCCCGAACATTCCATGGGTTACCAACCACAATTGTCCCCAATTTCGGATATCACCACGCTAGAGACAAATCCGTATATAGCACATACTTGGGTGAACATACATTTGACCTTACCTCCCACGACATGTTGTTATTTGCAAAGCACTACAGTAGCACGTGCCAAAAGCAATCCGGAATGAGCAATTTAATATGATACTTATGATACATTGAATCCCTGTCGATTATGGGTTATAAAGTACTATCCCATAAATATCCCATTACTATCCCATTACATCCCATTACTATATATTACTACCCCATTACTATCCCATAAATATCTCATGGGGGATGCAGATAACTACACGGCAACTTTATTTCAACCAGTTCTTCGAATCATTTTTGTGGTAAACCATTTTGAAGAAACCCACACGGTAAGCATTTCCAATTTATGGGCTACCCCCAACTCATCATTTTTTTTGGCTGTTCTATTATAAAGCATCCAGCTATTGGGGTACTCCATGACTCAGGAAACCTCCATATGCATCCACATGAAAAACACTAGCGGCAAGGGTGAGCTGGGCACTGCTTAGGTACCGTTTGCTTCAAGAACACCTGCGGGGCTATGTATCCGTGGGCCACCGTCCGTCCCTTCAAGACTTCCATAGCCACGTGTTGTGGCTGCGGCGGTCTGAAACCAACGGAAATCCCGTTGATATATCTTTTCTGAATATGATTGAATTCCAGCGGCTCAATAAATAAAGACATTATCAATTCCAAAATTAGGCAATTTGAATATCATATCCAATTTGATTGGTTTGAAAAGAAATTTTACATCCAAGGATTAATTTAAATTAATCCACATCAATTCTATTTCATCCCTTTTCTAACGTATCCCAAACAATGAACTACTTTTGCTTTTAGGAGCTCTCAGCTCCCCCCCAAACAGGAAACTAAAGGATAGGTCCTGGCATTGCTGTTATCCCTAATTACTCTCATCGCGTGTGTTTGGCAGTCATTTATCCACTCATGATGTTTCTTGGCTTTCTTATGCAGAACGGCAGTCCCTGGGAATGCAATTTTCCCATGATTTAAGCTGATATTTTGAGATGTTTTATTGCATTCCCCAAGGTACTTTGACAGCTTTGCCTGTGATTCATGCCAATTTCCTTGAAATATCCCACACTGGGTAAAAACCTTGGAAAAAGCACAAAAAATGCAATATTTCTAGACTCTTTGGAAGGGGGCGGGGGGGTCCCAGCCAAGACTCTCTGAAACGTTTGTTTTATTTTTGTTTCCATTTTTTTTTGTTTTAGCCATCTACACCTTTTTGTAGATTGTATATTCCAATTTTGAAATATTCGGTTATATCCTAGATAATAACCTTAAATTTATGTTATATTTTTTTGAAATACATTTTATATAAATTGATAATATTTTATTAAAATAATATAATTATTATCTTAATTATTATTATATTATCGATGGAATTTGTTGAAAATTTATAATATATGTTCTTGGAGGGATATTATATATTAAATTTACAATGAAATTAATTATATTTAAAATTATATGTATATATATAAATATAATTATATATATATTTATATATATATATTTATATATACATTTTTAAAGGAAAAATTTTTTTGATTGATATATATTTTATATAATTTGGAATAATTTGGTATTGTTTTTCGAATAAATATTATATTATTATAACATAAATATTATAAATAATTATATTATTATATATAAATATTATAAGTAATTATATTATTATGTATAAATATTATAAATAATTA